TTTTCACTTGATTTAGCTATTTTGCATTTGCCATTTTATATAAGACTTAATGTCTAAGTTTACAAAAAAAAGTTGCTGGGATTATATTAGGAATTATGTTAAACCTGTAGATTGCATTAGGCAGAATTGACTTGTACTACATTGACTATCCCTATTCATGAACACTCTTGTTTTCTTTTATCAGTATTTTGTAGTTTTCAGCATACAAATTCTGTACATGTTTTGTTAGGTTTACACTTAAATAAAGTTGTTTGGAGCCAACTTCCATATATTTATAGGGGCATTCAGGTTATTTTATATTGGGTAAGTTGTGGTAGTTTGTGCTTTTTGAGCACAACAAATTATATGACATGAATGTAACCTGGCAACCAAGGAGAGTGGACTGGAATGCACGTGTGAACAATGATGACTTCACTGTACTAGTCAGTGGGGGTGGTAGACATCACTGAGTGAGCATGTGTACTGTGCGGCCATCATATTCAAAATGAGTGATCTGCATCAAATTTTGTGTTAAGCTTGATCATTCATCTGTAGAAACTATTTGGATGATTCAGAGTGCCACTGCTAAGGGCAACTGATGATTGGCAGCTTCATCTCAACACACCCACCCATGCATCATATCTTATGCAGAGTTTTTTGACAAAACATCACATCACCTAGGTGACTCAGCAGCCCTGCAGCCCAGATGTGGTGTCCTGTGACTTCTGGCTTTTCCCAAAACTAAAATGACCTTTGAAAGGGAAGGGAATTTCAGACCATTGATGAAATTCAGGAAAATACTACAGGCCAGCTAATGGCATTTGGGAGAACCGTGTGGAGTCCCAAGATGCCTACTTTGAAGGGGACTAAGGCATCATTGTCCTGTGTACAGTGTTTCTTGTATTTTGTATCTTCTAATTTTCTAGACTAGTAAATGTCTCTAGTTTTCATATGGCTGGATACCTTCTGGGCAGACCTCATATAATAGGCCTTCTTACCCCAGCACAACATAGAAGTGGAGGGGTATCGTGTCATCATGCTAGAGGTGGATTAGTGCCTGTATGGGGTATGCCAACTCAACGCGCCACAGAGCCAAACACTGCAAATAGAGGTTTGCAGAGGGCGGGGGGGTGTGTAGGAATTGGAGTTGTTTGCAGGGTGTCAAGCAAGGAAAACGGGCAGCTATCACTTAAAACCTGAAATCTAGAATGGCTTTTAATCAGAGGTTTTTAAATGCAAAGATTGAGGGTTTAGGGATCACAGGTGAAACTGATAGGTTCTTTTGCAAGTTTCAGTGGTTTTCTCTAGTGTGATTAATTTAGTTATTGGCGCCATCTTGTCTGTAGCCTTGAGCTTTCCAACTGGGTCAAGTGATCTAAACAGTTCAGTGATATTATCTTCAAAGCAAAGCAAGGAACTAAACATTTGTGACCTTTGTTATTTTTAAGCTATCATTGCTTTATGCTTAAGTAGCTACATTCTTTTGTTATCTCAAGCTAAGTATACTTTTAAACATTTTTTTCTAGAACTTGCTTTACAGGCAGGCCTCTAAGACATGACTAACATACTTTCTTAATCTTTGACGATAAACTATGGGACAACCAAAGCAATTGAAACATTTAATTAAATCCTATATTTACATGTCTAGACTCTATGATCTTATACCTAAGCATGTTTATACCTGTTAACTGTCGGATTCATTCCTCACTCTTCACATGGTCTCCAATGATATTGCAGGGGCCCTCGTTACAACCTAATGTTGTAACCAGCCTCACCTCTCACCAGCCTTCTCTGACAATAGCCAGGAGGTGACAGTTATGGCACCGGGTTTCTGCTTGGCCAAGGTGGAAGGCTAGGGTTCCCATCAGCCTCTGCTAGTGGGAAAGGGACCCCTTGTGGTGTTTGGAGTAGAGCAGTTACTGTCTAAAAACTTTCTGTCTTGCTAGGCTGCCCTTTTCCTGGTCCTTTGGATAGAGGGGGCCTAGTTTTGTGTGCTTACAATTTGTTACTTACACCTGGTGGCTTCATGAACACCCACTTTATAATACTGACTATAAGGCTAAAAGAAAACCTATGTCCTTGGGTTCTGAGATCTCTAGCTGGTCTGCCACCTTGTTGTTACAGAACAGAGGTGGGGGGGCAATATTTGGCCCACCCAGGATGCCAAAAACTGATACAGAACAACAGGGGCCCCTCCCAAGGATGTTATACTAATACCTACTGGGCTCATCTGTTTGCCGCCAGAGCAAAGACATCTCTCAATGCCAGAGATTTGTGAAAAGGAAAGGTTTATTTAAAGCTATACAGACTTAAAGTAGTGACCCAATGTCCCCATTAAAATACCAAAGTCCTTTAGAATAACCAGAGATGCCCACAGAGCTTCCTCCCCCCCCCCCGCCCTAATTCAGGGTACCATATCAGGAAAAGAAGCACACGTCTCTGTTTCAGGCCACTGGCACTGTCAGCTGTGTCACCATCCAGACATAATCTCCTAATCCAAAGTCAAGTGGCACCGTCTCATGGTCTGCTGGCAAAGAATTCTTTCACCCTTCTTCCAGGCAAAGTCTTTCCTGCTTCCCAGGCCACACGGTCCCCAAAGCCACGTGGGCCTCTTCTACTGAAGCTGCAGGGGGTAAGCACTCTGCTAAAACCACGTGGCTCTCTCACATGGCTGCCGCATCTGTGTTTAAATCCCGGACCCAGTCCTCCTTTGCAGCCCCATTTCCAACTCCTCCCACAATCGGCTACACCCACCAGGACTCCAATATCCTCTCAGCTTTACTGGGCTGCCATAGTGAGTCTGGGCAGGCGTTGCCTCATGGCCTGGAGCCAATCATCTCCAAGCTCTCACGCAGGCGCTGTAAGGAGGGCTGGGGAGTTGCCTCCCAGTTACATCTTGAGTGGAAGTCACTCCCTTCTCCCTGGCTCAAAGCATGGCCACAACTATTTAACATATCTATGAAACCAGTTAAAGGTTATGGCCATGCCAGAGGTTAGCTGCAAAACTGTTGCTATACAAAACAGCTCTCAATGGTCCTGCTCCATTTGTCCCTTCCCCCAAATGACACCTTGGGGAGGGGGTGAGGACATCTTAATATTTCCTGGACACCCTGAGCTCTGGACCCCATTCCAAATTCTTTTGGGGGGCCCCCCTCCTGGCTGCGCCATTACATTTTCTCTATCTTTACCTGTCTTATGATTGTTTTATGCAGAATGTTTATAGTTTTTAGCCATACCTATCTGGAGAAATAAGGAAAAATATGGTTATACAATCTGTAAAATGCATTATCACATTTACAGATTTTAATTATTAATCCTTTGTTAGTACTGTGTGTTGGGTAGATCTTCCAGTTTTGAGCTTGTTTTCTCACTTTCTTCATAGCAATCTTTTGACTAACTAGTTCTTTGTTCACTTCAATAAAAAACTCTATTGCACCCTTGCTGGTGTGGCTCAGTGGGTTGAGCCACCGGCCTGTGAACTGAAAGGTCACAGGTTCAATGCGTGGGTTGTGGGCCAGGTCCCCAATTGTGGGTATGCGAGAGGCAGCCGATTGATGTTTCTCTCACACATCGATATTCCCTTCTCCCTTTCTTTCTCCCTCCCTTCTCCTTTCAAATAAATAAGTAAATAAATCTTTTAAAAATTTTATTGAAATTCTTGTTGGGGTTATTTTTAAAACTGCATTGAATCTATAGGAATGTTTGGGGAGATTTGCCATTTTCACCATCATGAACGTGACATTTTTTTATTATTTTAATATATTTTAATTAGGGTTTCTAAATAGTTTGATTTTTTCCACATGGCCTTACATGATTTAAAAAAAATAGATTTCTAATACACTCCCTTTACCTTTGTAAAATGGATTTTTTATAAGTACTGCACACTAACTGATTGTGCCACTGGAGCTCCTAAAATGGATTTTTTAAATAAAAACGTTTGTTTATTGCTTGGATATGCAAATAAAATGGACCTTTGGCTTATTTTGTGTTTATTTTTATGCACTTCATTTCATAAAACTATTGAGAACTTTTTGAGATCTCCTTGTTACAAATTACAGCATCAAGTTTTTATTAGATTTTTAAAAATTTAATTAAGACTTTAGATTGTAACTCATTCATTATTATTATTTTACCAAGCACTATAAAAGATGATTCATTTTTTCCCCAAAGGAATATTATTCAAACTTGTTAAAGGAAAACAATAGTTTTCCTTATCTCCCAAGTAGATTTTAAACAAAACAAGATTGTCTGTGTACCACTTTGCCAAATCCTGATTCTTATAGGTTCAGAGAGAACCAGAGTGCTCTGTTCTTTTAGAAATCTCCAGTGTGGTTCTGATACCACTATTTGAAAACCACTGATAGAGAATGTTTGAGTGTAGTACTTAGGGATGTTCACTTGGAAACGTAACTCACTTAAAATTATGAGGACTCCGTTTAATATAGTAATAGCTGTGGGGATATGTATACACACACATATGTAATCCATATATATACATAAGCTGAATTGCTTTGTGTTAGTAACAGCAGGTAGGAATTTGAAGAGAGTTAACATTATAACAGCAACTGTTCACAGATTGAATGAGATGTATTGGTTTAGTGCTTGGTAGATTTATTAAAAAACCTTAAAATGAAAGCTCATGGATGTAGAGAACAGATTGGTGTTTGCCTAAGGAGGAGTTTGGGGTGAATGAAATGGGTGAAGATTCGTAAGATACAAATTTCTCATTCTGAAATGAATAAGTCATGGGAGTATAATGTACAGTATCGTGACTATAGTTAATAATACTATACCGAGTATTTGAAAGTAGGAGAGTGGATCTGAAAGTTCTTACCCAAAGAAAAAAAATTTTTGTCACTGTGTAGTGATGGATGTTAACTTATTGTGTGTGTAGTGATGGATGTTAACTTATTGTGGTGACTATTTTGCAGTATATACAGATGTCATGTTGTACATCTGAAAATATGTTAGTTGTACCTCGTTTTAATAAAAAATCTTAAAATGTAAATTTGTCTTTGCAGTTGGAGTCGTTCGATGTCCAGTTTGTAGCCAAGAATGTGCAGAGCGACACATCATAGATAATTTTTTTGTGAAAGACACTACTGAGGTTCCCAGCAGTACAGTAGAAAAGTCTAATCAGGTAAGAGAATCAAGTCTTGAATCTTTCACCTCGATGTAAAAAAAAAAAAAAAAAAAACAACAATAAAAAGTGTCAAATTAGAGCACTATATTTATGAAATGATGTACTACTTTAAAGGTGTATACATTTATAAGGAATAGTGAAGAATTCATGTCAATAGTCGGAATAAAACAGCACCAATATAAAAGCCCTGATGGCACCCCTACCTCCCCTGTCCTCTCAGAGGAAACCGTTTTTTTATCATTTCATGTTATTTCATTTCTTTATAGTTTAAAAAAATTTTTTTAACGATTTTATTTATTTTTAGAGGGGAAGGAGAGAGGGAGAGAAACATCAATGTATGGTTGCCTTTTGTGTGTCACCTGCTGGGAACTGGCCTGCAGGGAACCAGCCTGCAACCCAGGCATGTGCCCTGACTGGGGAATCAAACTGCAGTTGTCTGGTTCGCAGGCCCACGCTCAATCCACTGAGCTACACCAGCCAGGGCTCATTTCTTTATAATTTTACTCAGTGTTGACAATTAGATTTTTAAGGCTCCCCTTTTAAATTTGTTTTATTTTCATGATAAGCTCTATAATGATACATATGAAAATTTTCATGTCTTTGATCCAGTATAGCTTCTGCATTTTAAGAAAGTCTTCTGTTCTGCATGGTATCTTTTTTAAAGCCTCATTTGGTAGCATTGTCCAAGGTGTTGCATCTAGAGATCCAGTGGTGTTTGTTTGTTTCTTTTTTTTAAGGTTATATTTATTTTTTAGAGGAAGGCAAAGAGAGGAAGAGAAACATCAACATGCAAGAGAAACGTTGATCGGTTGCCTTTCGCATGCCCCCAGCCAGGGACCTTCCTGCAACCAGGCATGTGCCCTGACCAGGAATTGAACTGACGGCCTTTTGCTTTGTCAGGGGGAGTGCCCAACCAACTGAGCCACACCAGTCAGGGCCAGTGGTGTTTTTCTTTTTTCCCCTACTTCCATAAACACATGTACAACATTTCTGTTGTTGTCTTACAGCTAAATGCCAAGTTAAGTAGTGTATTAGTCTGCTTTCGGATCATGATTCATTGATAGTTTCTTTTGGAAGTTCCTTTAATTTGGAACAGATTTGTGATGAAACTGAATCTGATATGGAAAAATTATTATTAATCTGAAGTGTAAAATGTAAGAAGTAGTGTTTAGGATTCTTGAGTAATCAGTCACATAGCTAAGTTTCTGTACATTTCACTTTCTCGGAACTATAGGAATTTAGGGTTCACTTTAAATTAATATAACCACTACTAACTAAAATATCTCTTTTTTGTTTCCAAAGTATCCACAACTCTTCTTAATGGGAACCTTCATCAAAAGCCAAAACTGAGTTTGGTGCAGGGAATAAACTTTTCAATTGTTGTGAAACCAGCTTTAAGGAATGGAATAATCATTATTTATGTGAACTCCGGTGTCAAATCCTCTGAAAGTTCTCTTCTGAATCCTACTGATTTTGGTTCTGTATTCTAGAGTGTCACATCACTTTGGTTTATATATGATAATTGTTCACATTAGGTGTATTTTGTTAGTCTTATCATAACCAATGATAGTTTATCAGATGAACTCCAGTAGCACATGGGAATGATAATCCAGAAAATTCAAAGGCCAAAGCAGCATAATAATCAACACGGTAGAGTGATGCTACAACCAGAATTTAGGATAATAAGAAATGAGAATTGAAGGGATTCAAATTTAAAGAACAAATTTGAGAGATTGGTTTATGCCTCTTTATAATCTACTAATTTTCAGTAAGCTTGTTTATTTACTCTGCTTCTGTCACAAAAACATAAAAAGTTATAATCAGTTAATTTAGATATAGAGTCCCATAGATATCTCTAATGTTAAATGAGTGAGAAGGGTAAGAATATTAAAATTGGTTCAGACAGTAAGGTTCTTATAGGGATATTTTGGGAAGAAAGACTAGAGAGGTGATAATGGAGGATGAATTAGAATTAATAAGCACTAGTGAGAGGTGGTGAGAGCTGAACTGTCATGGTGGCGATGCGGAAAGGAAGGATAAGTTAAAAGTCCACTCAGGGTGTGATATACCTGATTGTACGTGGAAGATGAAAGAGGCCTCGCTGCCAGGATGATGGTTCCTTTCAATATAGATAAAGAGAGCAGGGAAGTAGACAGAGGGAGAGAATCAGGCTTGAATGTGATTGAGTTTGTCTGTAAGATTAAGGTAGAGATGTCATCCGTGGTCCCAATGGAGCTCTGAAGAGTTTATAGCTAAAGATAAAATTTTGTTTTTTTGTGATAGATAATTTTAAGCATTCCCCAAAATGTGACAGTTCAGCATAACAGACTGCCATGCACCCATTACCTAAGTCAATAATCATCTTACTTTATGTCGGATAACCTGACACTTCCCACCACCACTAGATTATGTTGAAGTTAATCCCAGGCTTTATATTATCTGATCTGTAAAATATTTCAGTGTTTATATTTCAAATCTCTGGCATTAAGAGACATCTTTCCTCTGGTGGCAGGCATAGCGAACCTAGTAGGGGAGTCCTTTTGGTAATAATATATCATACCCCACCTTGGCTCCATTCTGTAACACCCTGGCTAGTGGCTGGGTGGCCAGGGCCCTCTGTGTGGCAGAAAGCCAAGATGGCCAAGACAGTGAGTCCTTTGTTCTGAGGACTTATACAGTTGACAGGATGGGGGTGAAGAAGTTACATACTGATTGATGGGTAAAGGTAGGCCAGCTTTCCTAGGGAGATGTGACTACCCAAATGTAGGTATGGAGGTCTGTTAGACCGAATTCTTATCTTGCTCCAAGCTCTATTTGTTTATTTAGTATATGCAATGGGAGGCGGGCAGTTAATCAAAGTTGTTTTATGGGCTTTTCTTTCGGCCCTGTAGGTCCCTTCCCTTCCCCCCCCTTCCAGGCCTTGGAATGAACACATAGTCTCAAGGTTTTCCTTTTCCCAGCTAGTGGAGATAACACACAGACTTTCAAGGCCTTCCCTCCTCCTACGTTATCATAGTTTACTTGTGTCTTTTGGAACCCTGGCAGTCTTATTGAACCAGGCTTAGGACTACTGGGTAGACATGTCTTCCTTTGCCTTAGACCATCTGTATTAAGCTCTTTGTTTGAATGCAGTGATGAGGGCCCTGTCCTTACTTCCCCTCTGGCTGCTCATTCTACCATAACAGTATATGCATTATATATTATAGGGTATATTAGGACAGTTTTGGTACAATCAACCATTTTTATTATTTTATTTTATTTATTTTTTTAGAGGGGGAAAGAGAAGGAGAAGAATATCAGTGTGTGGTTGCCTCTCCTGTGCTCCAACTTGGGACCTGGCCTGCAACCCAGGCATGTGCCCTAGACTGGGAATCAAACTGCCAGCAACCCTTTGGTTTGTGGGCTGGCATTCAATCTACTGAACCACACCAGCCAGGGCCAATTTTTTAAAAAATACATTTACTTATGTTTTTAGAAAGAGACGGAAAAGGAAGAAGAAGAACATTAATGCAGGAGAGGAACATTAGTGTGAGTGAGAAACATCGGTCAGTTGCTTCTCATAAATACCCCGACCTGGGATTGAACCTACAACCCAGACATGTGCCCTGACTAGCAACCTTTCACTTTGTGGGACAATGCCCAACTAACTGAACCACACTAGTTAAGACCAGTCAGGAACCATTTTAATTCATTCTATAATGTTAATTATTTTTAATTTTTTTAAAATAAAAAAATTAGCTCTGGCTGGTGTAGTTCAGTGGATTGAGCATAGGCCTGTGAGGCAAAGGGTTGCGGGTTCAATTCCCAGCCAGGGCACAAGACTGGGTTGCAGTAAGGGTCCCCAGTAAGGGGACACATGAGAGGCAACCACACATTGATGTTTCTCTCCCACTTTTTCTCTTTCCCTCTCTCTAAAAATAAATAAATACAATATTTTAAAAAATAAAATAAATTAGTTGACATATTAGCTTCAGGTGTATACCATAGTGATTAGACATTTATGTAATTTATGAAGTGACTAGCCTGTTAAGTCTGGTACCCGTCTGACACCATACATAATTATTAAAATATTATCGACCATATTCTTTATATAATACTTTACATTCCTATGACTATTTTTATAAATGTCAATTTATAATTTTTAATCCCTTCATCTTTTATACGCAGTCCCCTTAACTCCCCCTCCCATTGGCAACCATAAATTTGTTCTCTATATCTATGAATTTGTTTTGTTTGTTGGTTTATTTTGTTTTTGATTCCACATAAAAGTGAAGTCAGGTAGGTAATATTTGTCTTTTTTGGTCTGACTTCACTTAGCATAGTACCTTCTAGGTCATCCATATTGTAGCAAATGGCAAGATTTCATTCTTTTTACAGCTGAGAAATATTTTATTGTATGTGTGTACCACCTCTTTATCTATTTGTCTATAGATGGATACTTAGGTTGCTTCCATATCTTGGCTATAATAAACAATGCTGCAGTGAACATAGGGGTGCATACGTAATATGTTTTTGAATTAGTGTTTTGGATTTCTTTGGATAAATACCCAGAAGTGGGATTGCTGGGTTACATGGTTATTCTCATTTTAATTTTAATTTTTCGAATAGCCTTTATACTGTTTTTCATAGTGGCTGTAATAGTTTGTAATCCCACCAGCAGTGCAAGAGGGTTCCTTTTCCTCCACATCCTCATCAATACTTGTTTGTAATTTATTGATACTAGCCATTCTGACAGGTATGAGGTGACATCTCATTATGGTTTTAATTTGCATTTCCCTGTGTTGTTGAGTGATGTTGGGCATCTTTTCACATGTCTATTGGCCATCTGTATGTCCTCTTTGGAGAAGTGTTTGTTCAGATTCTCTGCCCATTTTTTAATGGATTATTTGTTTGTTTGTTTGTTTTTGGTGGTGGTGTATGAGCAAACAAGTCATCCCACCCCAACGGCATATAAGCAGTGGCATGCTATGCTTTTTCCCTTTACTTTCAAAATTTTACTTTATGTAGTACTAGAGATCTGTCCCTAGCAGTATATGTAGAGATCCCTTATTCCTCTTTGTAGCACAGTGTGCGGATTCGGTTTTAGGGAAACGTCCTTATAGAGGTGACAGTTGAGGCTAAGGGAATAGGTGAGACCAGTCTCCACATCTAACAAAATCTGCAGAATTAAGGGAGTAAGAGTGGTAGAGGGATTCCAAGGGGCATTCAGAGAGATAAGAGAATCTGGAGGTTTCTAGGAATCCAAATGTTTTCTGGGAAGTTGGAGTCAGTGGCATTAAATGCTGTTAGAAAGTTTGATGGTAAGAGCTGAGAAAAGTCAGGTTTGGGTTAATAGAAATGTTAGCCAAGTATTTGGAATTTGGCTAATGTAAACCACTGACTGAGGAGGAAATTTTCCCCCCGAATCACTAATGATGTCGTGAAGAGTGCCGATAACAGGGTGTATTCAAAGAACTCAAGACTTCTATCTCATCTACCTATCTACTGGGTAACTCAAGGAATCACATGTACACAGTTCACAAGCTGGAGACATAGGTGCTGTCTCTTCTTTACCTCCCATACGCTGTCCACTCTGCACACCATTCTGTTTCACTTTCTAAATGTCCTTATTCATCTCTACTTCCACCCATTCTCACCTAAACGACAGAAAAAGCCTACTTGTTTCTGTGCAGAAACTCTTCATTTCTAATCTCTTCTCTCCATTGCAGTGGCAGTGAATTTTTAAATGCAAGTTCTGCCATGTCATTCATTTACTTAAAAGCTTTTAGGAGACATCTTTAGACAAAGACCAAACTGTCTTGTGACCCACTTGGTCTGGCTCCTGCCTGCCTTGCCACCAGCTGCTTCTCTTGCCAGTCTTCCCCTGGATCTCTCCATTTCAGTCCTACCGGCTTTGTGTCCTTTCTTTGAACACGCTATATGCTCTTCTTGCTGGAGGCTTTTGTACCTGTTTTTCCCTCTGCCCAAAAGGCTTGTCATCAGTAATCGATAACTCAGCTTTTCATATCTTAGCGTTGATATGATCTCCTTGGAGAAATCCCTGCCTGGGTAATCTCTCCTCTCACTTTGCCCATCCCTCCCACGCCACTAAAATGAGATCACTTTATTCCATCATGTGTTGTTAACAGCTCCTTATACTTTTTCTTTAGGGCACTTCTCAGTTTGTAGTTAATGCACATATATTAGTGTGATTATTCCTATAATGTTTGTCTCATATTTAATCTTCACAACTACTCAGTAAATCCACATTACTACCCTCATTTTAAACATGACCAATCTAAGTAACTACTCTAAGACTACCCGGCTGGTAAGTGGGGGACCTGGGATTTGGACCCATGTCCCATCTGTGAGACTAGGTATCATAAGGGCAGGGACTGTTTGCTCTTCTCACTGTTGTTTCCTCAACACTCAACAGAGTGCCTGGAATACTTGCTATATTGAACTGAGGACGGTGACTTTATATTTCCAGTTCTTATGTTTATAATTTAAAACAGAATGTCACTTCAAATTTACAAACCCTGTTAAGAAGATAAATGATAGAGTTGGGTATGGTTGTTGTATCATTTACATATGACTAGTGGTGTGACCAACCTTTCATTTTTCTCAGAAATTGATGTGATATCTTTCTTTCATTAGGTATGTACAAGCTGTGAGGATAATGCCGAGGCTAATGGGTTTTGTGTGGAGTGTGTTGAATGGCTCTGCAAGACGTGCATCAGAGCTCATCAGAGGGTGAAATTCACGAAAGACCACACTGTGAGGCAGAAGGAGGAAGTATCTCCAGGTAATGAATTCATTCTGTTCATCTCTTTTTCTCTCTCCCTCCCACCTTGTTTTCTTTCTTCCTACACTGACATGTTTTGATATACTTATAAGCCTTAAATAAACTCTTGTTTTTGTAAAACAGAGAGGTCTGAATTGTTGAAATTTGAATACTTACAAATATTGGTAAGTGTGAACAGAAATACAATTCTTTTGCTTTAGAGTCATACTTTCAATCCACCTTTCCTGTAAGTGCCACAAGTTGGTGTGAATGTATAGCAGATGAAAAATCAGGTTGCTTTTTAAACTCACTTTCTCTCGTATTTTATTTCTAAAATGACTAGCTTAAAAAAGTTTTATAACTCTTTCGCTCTGATATGCTTATATTAAACCTGTTTTGTGATATTTGACATGTATATAACGAGAGCTTTGCTTTTTATAATAAATATGGTTTCAGGGTTTTTAGTGTGTTGCTTATATTGTTAAGTTCACGAATACTTTTTTATTGTAAAATGTGTAACTTAAAATTTGCCATTTTAAATACACAATTCAGTGGCATTAGTTGCATTCAGTGTTACGCCGCCATCACCACTGCCCATTGCCCATTGCCCATGCGTCTCTGCCCCAGCCCCTGCTAACCTCTAATCTGTCTATGAATTTGCTCATTCTTCATATCTTATGCAAGTGGAATCATACAGTATTTGGCCTTTGGTGTCTGGCTTATATTCGACTTTTCACAGTATTTTCAGGGTTCATTCATGTTGTAGCATTTATCAGGATTTTGTCCATTTTTATGGGTCATTAATGTACTTTTGTTTAAAAAGTTATTTTATTGTTCTCTATTCATTGAGTCAACCAGTGTTTGTATGCTTATTCTATATTCCCGGAACTTTGCTAGGTACTAGAGATGAAAAGGTACGTAAAACAGATAGCTTCCTACTCGTAAGGAGTTATTTAGTCTGATGAAGATTATGAACAAATTAGGAAATGTAGTTTGGCCTCGTAAGTTCTATGGGAGCATATGAAAGGAGTGAGTACCAAACTCAGATCTGGGGATTTAGGTTGGAGGCCAAGTCTGAGGCTTCAGGGGTAAATGGTTCATCACATGAAGGAGAGGGGCGGGGAAAACTGAAGCACACACCCATGTCCGGAGGAGGAAGGTTGAGTGTAGCTGGAGAGAGAATGCAAAAGGACGAGTGGTAAGAGATGAGGTTAGGAGTCTGGAGACACAGGGAAAAGGGCTATAATTTCTGAGGACACTGATAGAAAAAAGTCACAAAAGAGAAAAAAACAGCTATTGATTCAGGTATATTTAGTAGAATAGTGCTATAAAGACTTCTGTTGGTTTTTTTGTTCTATTTTGTTTTTGTTTGCCCCCTTGAAGCCAACCAACCATCTGTTGAAAAAGAGAGCAGGAAACGGGAATCAAAGATAACAAATATGGAGTATATCTGAAGTAACTCCGGTTGAGAGAGAGCTCCAGCTTCGGAAATAGTAGGACTGCTTGGTAGCATTGATTACATTTGCTGCGTAGGCCTTAAAACGTCCTCCCTTGGACTGCAGAAGTCTGGTTGTGCGCATAGAGAAGAATCGAACTTATCTAGCATTGGGGTTTAGGTGGACACGTGTTCCACAGGGTAAGAGATGTAGATAGATGCATGTATCGGAATGAAGAATTTGGGGATTTTAACTCTATAAAGGAAGCGAGGTTGATATATCACTTGATAGGGTAAAAGAAATGTTTAGGGACTAGAGATACTGATGGAGTACAGTGAGAGTAGTTAACCAACAATCGGATGGTTAGAAAGAAGTTATTAGAGTAGGGCATTTGAATTATAATTCTAGAAATGGAACAGTTCTGGACAAACATCTAGTGTGAGATAGTGATGTCTATTAAATGGAATAAGTTGCTAAAATGAAGTACAGGTTTCTAGAGATGAGCAAGTCTGAGAGGCTTGTCTATGTGGTACTCTCTGTGGATTTCTGACTTACCCACAGTGATAAAAAGATTTAGTCCTAGGAAGACTATGAATCAGGATCTAAAATCTTCAGTAAATAGTCTATAATTGGGTGATGTGATATGTCCTAATTATCTAAATCAAGACCTTTATAAATAATCATTTCTGGACAGAAGGCACAAACCAGGATGTGTTGAGACAGTTAAGGATGTATGGTCACCCTATCAACTATGATGCCCAGATCACATGACCATCAAGAAGGATGCAGGGAAGATTTTCAGATTAGGAATCCGGAACCATCTTTAGGTTGCTGGAATTCTTGTAGAACATTTGGTCCTATCAGAAATGTCTGTGAGCATATTTGGTCCTGTCAAAAACACCCACACTTAGAAAATGTCCCTGAGTTCAAATATCCCATGACATTTATTTATGCTTTTGATTTATAGAATTAATACATTAAAAACCCATGTTTTATTGACTCAATAGATGTATTGCCTATAATAATCCTTCAGTAGCCTGGTTGATAATGTCACGTGGCAAGGGCCAAACATCACAGACCTTTGGAGTAGAAGGAATGTCTCAGCAGGCATTTTGGATGGGACCGAATGCTCACTGATCACTAGGATTCATTTCATTTAGTCTTGATGTGCTGTGCTTTTAGTTTACTTTTACAGAGTTGCTAGTTTTCTCTACCTGTTTATTTTCCTTTTTTCATTCTGAATTTTATGTACTTTTATCTTTTTAATGTGACTAGTCGGTTATCTTTTTGTTTTTGTTTTAATAACCACAGAAATAGTTCTTAAATTTAATTATCTAATTATCCATTGTATTTTTAGCTTTTTAATTTTATCTTTAATTTCTTTCAGTTTACCTTAGTTTCATTTTAAAGTTCTATTATTAACTAGTTGAGATAAATACTTGATACTTACTTTCATTTTTTAAAGAATTATAAGTGTTTAAAGTGTGACTTAAGACTTGCCACTTCAATTTCTCACTACTTTTTTTAAAAGATTTTATTTCTTTTTCTTTTTTTTTATTTTTAGAGAGAGGGGAAGGGAAGGAGAAAGAAAGGGAGAGAAACGTCAACGTGTGGTTGCCTCTCACATGGCCCCACTGGGGACTGGGCCCACAACTATGCCCTGACTGGGAATTGAACCCTTTGGTTCTCAGCCTGCACTCAATCCATGAAGCTACACGAGCCAGGGCTTTTTTTTTTTTTTTTTTTTTATTTAATTTTAAGATAGTCTACATTTATGGTTACACAACAGTTGGGGATTTATGAATTTTTGTGTTTGCTCTTTTCTACTTTGGTAGAATATAAAGCGATGATACAGAGAGATGTTCATGATGTATATTAAATGCAAAAAGGAAGTTGCTGGACAGCATGATTATTTTGAACCCAAGAATTCATTAAAAGAAAAAGGGAAATTTTCTCAGTGCTGGGGTTTTGTTTGTTTCTGGTTTCACCTTTACAGTTTTATTATATTAGGATCAGCAGATGTGAGTCTGTTAACTCATTCTACTTGCCAACATACATTTAAGGATTTTGTAAATGTGGATAATATATTAAAATAAATTTCGGATAAATAAAAGTATATAAAGAACAGAAACCTGAAGGGCTTACCATGTTGGGGGGGAGGGACTCAAAATTTTTATCTAGAAAGGGGAAAGACTTTTTAAAAGCGGTTTTCAAAAACTAAAGCCATAAAATATACAAATGAATACATTTTTCTATTAAAAATTCCTAGGAATGTGCTTAGAAAAAATACTAAATGTGTTTACAATTTGATAAAGAGAATTGGACAGAAAAATAAGAGGTTATAAACAAGCAAGTCTTTTTTTTTTTTAAACATCAATGTGTGGTGGCCTCTCATGTGTCCTCTACTGGGAACTGGCCCGCAACCCAGGCAGTGCCCTGACAGAGAATCGAACCAGCGACCCTTTGCTACATAGGCCTGTGCTCAATCCACTGAGCTACACCAGCCAGGGCTAAACAAGCAAGTCTTAAAAGAAATACAAATGGTTGGTGAATGTATTGAAGGTTGTTTCATCTCAAGTTACTAAGAAATGTATCTAAAGTTTGTGAAATCTCTCCTTTTTCTTATAAAATTGGTGAAGATTAAAGATACTGAGAAAGCCTCATTAGGAAGCTAAGAGCCAGTTTACACTGGAAGGAGTACAAATCGGTATTTTGCAGGAGCAATGTTTTAGATGACGGTTTCATTACATATATATAAATGTCCACTTGGTTCAGTAATTCTGTTACTAGGAATTTGTCTTATGGAGACATTCAATGCTTTATGCATTTTATTTGCTTTAGCATTTTTACACAGTATTGAAAAAGAAATATTCAAATATCCACTTACAGGTGGTATGTCCATTTGGTGCAGTACTATACAGTTAATAAATATGTACATGTATTTACTAAAACAGAAAGGTATATAAGACAGAGTTAAGTGAAAAAAGTTTACAACACAGCATGTGTAGTGCCATTTTTATAAAATATTGACTAGTGTATGTTCCATAGTTTTTGGACCATAAGACTCACCTAGGTTTTAAGAGGAGGAAAGTAGGGGGAATAGTTTTGAAGTAAAAAATGCGGTAAAATATGTAACATAAATAACATAGTATTTCACCAATGTAAATGTAAAGCTCCATTCAGACTATAAGATGCACCCCCCCCTTTCCTACCAAATTTAGGGGGAAGGTGTGTCTTACAGTCTGAAAAATACAGTAGTTACATACACTGAAAAACATCAAGAGAAATACAACCAGGTTATTAATAGTGCTTATCTTTGGACGTGGGATCATTTCTCAAATGTTTGGATTTTATACTTATAGTAGATATCTGGTGTTTACTGTTTAATTATTACTTCTGATATTTTCTGTTTAACATTATAACGTAAGCATTGCCTAGTTTTATCCCTGATTTGGTTATCGAGAAGTTATGTAGATGACTATAATATAATAATGAAAACTTTATGGTTATGTCTATGTTAATGGGTATCCTTTGTTAGGATTTTTTGCAAAAGGGAGGAATTTTTGTTTTACCACATCCTTTGTAGATTTTCTGAATTGCATTTAAAATTTTATATTTGGAATAAAAATATCAAATCGATTCACACTCACTTATCTGGGCCATTAAGACTTTTGAATTTTATAAAGCATATTTTTAACTATGTTTTCTTTTTTCCCTGAATTAATTTGAATTTGTACATTGGAAAGTGAAAAGCTCATTTTTCTTCTGAAATGCTGAAAATACGTAACATTTTCATATCTGTAAAACCTAGCGGTAGTGATATTGTCGATGAACCAATTTGTAGCTCTTTCATATCTCAGTGAATTTAAATTTAAATAAATATTGTAATTATTTACTCTTCAGTTATATTAATTTTGTCCTTTTTGACTCCTGTTGTTTCTACAGAGGCAGTTGGTGTGACCAGTCAAAGACCAGTATTTTGTCCTTTTCATAAGAAGGAGCAGCTAAAGCTTTATTGTGAAACATGTGACAAGCTGACATGTCGGGACTGCCAGTTACTAGAACATAAAGAGCATAGGTACCAGCATCTTTTGTCATATACATGGGTTTATAATGCAGCTTTCTGAGACTAGAGGGTTGTTGGCACCCAGCCAAATGACAGTCTGCAGATGATGTTTTATTTAGCCAGCAGTGTGTTGGCCTATTTAGGAATATATCAACTTTGGCCCTATTGACATTTTAGGCCAGATAATTGTTCGTGGGGGTTGTCCGGTGCTTTTGTGGTAGTTAGCTTCATCTTTGACCTCTATTCACCCAATTCCAGTAACATCCTCCTAGTTGTCACAACTAAAAATGTATTCAGACATGGCTTTGGGAGCAAAATCACCCTGAGCTAAGAACCACTAGCCTACATACTGTTTTAAAATATGTGGAACCGTAGCCCTGTCTAGCGTGGCTCAGTTGGTTGAGTGTCATCCTGCAAAGTGAAAGGTTTCCAGTTCAGTTCCCAGTCACGGCACATGCCAGGGTTGCAGTCCTGGTCCCCAGTCCAGGTGCACCAAGAGGCAACAAATCAGTGTTTCACACATCGATGTTTCTTTCCTTCTTTTTCTCCCTCCCTTTCCCTCTCTAAAAATAAATAAGTAAAATCTTAAAATATATGCAATGTAAAATAAGATTTTACATTTACAAAAACCAGACCTTTGTATTTTGAACTGTTGTATCCCTGGATTCCTTGTACTTTCCTGTGAGCATTTGGCTGGAATTGACTTTAGTGCTCTTTAGAATAAAGCATGCCTTTTCCAGTTCATCATATTTCCTACTAAAGCTTACCTTTTTTTTTTTTTGTCTTAGTAAAAGGTGAAAGATTTATTTGCTCAGAACAAAAACCAGAGTATAAAAGCTTACTTTTAAATCTGACCTTTAAAAGCATTTGAGTTAGTAACCACTGATTTAAACAGTCAGATTCTGGTTAACTTATATATACATAATTGCTTAAAATGGTTTAGGTTCCTAATAATGGCAGACTGGGTAATTTGGATCAACCATCCTGGTGAAGATAGAAACCTTGGACTAAATACAGAATCATTGATAAGAAATTTTAGAGCTCAATCAAAAAGAATTGTTGAACCAGGTTGGGTTGGTTGGAGTGGGGACAGAGAATGGTAAGGGCTTTTTTCCCCTTTGAGGCATTTGCCTAGAGGTTGAAGAGTACTTTATAATAGGCTCACAGGGCTGGGAAGACAGTAATTGAGGGTTCAGGGGTCATAGGGGCTGAAGTCTTCTCCTTGCCTTCAGCTGGGACCCTGAAAGTCTACACTATTATAGTAGAGATGAACTATGTAGTTAAGTAGCTTCCTCACAGGGTCTAAAGCTCAGCATCAAAGCTCTATTCGAAGTTGGATTAAATTAAAAATGTATTTCTGGTGCCCCAAGGTACCTGATAGGATCAAATACAGAACTTCCCTGGAGAAAGAAAACATCATTCTAGGCCTCAAACTTAGTTAATAAAGAATTTTGCAAAATGGTCCAGCCAGTACGTAATTAAAGATAACGGAGTATGCTAAGAGATAATACAATATGAATAAAATTTAGTAGATAGCAAGAAACAGTACGAAAATGCCTTCGGGGCTGCATCTTATATTGAAGATAAGAGACGAAATGGAAAATCTGGGTAGAGAACTGAAAAATTAGAATAACTGAAATTAACTCAATAGAGAGTTTAATAGCAGATTTGACATAGCAGGAAAGGGAAGTTAATGAACAAGGAGGAATTTAAGAAAATTTCCAGACTGAAGCGTGATAAACAGAAGAATGGACAGTAGAAGAGGGACAGACATGGTGTAACACAGGGAGTAATTGGATTCTAAGGAGGAGAGAATGGGAGGGAAGCAACATTTAATAGAATATAATGACTTAGAACTTTGTAATACTGAAGAAAGACATCTAGTCCATATTTAAGAAGCTCTATCACCCGCCCATAATATAATTTAAAAGTAATTTTTTAAAGAGCAAAAAGAAAGTAACAGCAAAACTGAAATTTTGTATACCCAGCAAACACACTCAGATAAGGTTTTCATGAGAAAAAAACATTTTCAGACAAAATAAACTGGGAGAATATATATCTGGTAAACCCTCACTCCAATGTATACTTTGGGCAGAAGAAAAATGGTAGGTGATGGATGCATGGCAGAATGAGAGCAGTTAAAATAAGTATGAATAAATCTAAATGTTGACTTACACAGCAGTAGAGATGTCTTGCTGGTGCACATAGAGTGTTGTATATCAGACAGCAGACATGTTAGGTGGCTTCTGCATAATTTAGGATGAGGGTAAAAATGCAAATCAGTACTAGACCATAGATCAAGATCTGCATTTTTTAATATCTAGAGTAGTCACTGAGAGAATAGTAAAAGTGTAAAAGGAGAGGATGGAATAATTAATAATCAGTTTAAATGCAAGTCAAAGAAAGAAAAAGCAACAAAGAACCGGTAGGATTTAATAAGGACCTTATATATGTTGATATATTTATAAATGTATTTATAATTATAATAAATGTAAATGGAAAAAGTGTTCCAAATTAGAAGATTTCAGGCTAGATAAGAAAGAATATAGAAAGTCTGCTATTTGCTTTTTATAGGAGAAACATCTAAAACCTACATATGTGAAAAGAATGACGGGAAAAGATGCACCATACAAACACTAACCGAAGGCAGGCTGGCGTAGCAAAGCTCATTACTTGAAATAAAAGGGGAACTTTGTAATGATAAATGGTTTTCTTCATCTAAAAGACATAGCAGTTCTAAATTTATGCCCCACAACCGTAAAATACATGAAGAAAAGCCCTCTAGCTGCTATCTTGTGTCCCTGCATGTGTGCTTGTTCTCAGCTGCTCTGCCCAAGATCCCCTGCGCGGCAGCCCTGGTGCCCCACTCCACCCCATTTCCTCTTCTGCAAGATGAAAGAAACTCATGAACCAGGGGAAACTTGCCAAACTGCAGGCAAGAGTGCATGTTGGTGGGGAATAGTTTCTTAGAATGTTTTTTAGAGAGGCTTTTCTGAAAGCCAGGTAATCTATGTGACCACTTCAAGGGAGCTGCTTATAGAAAAAAGATGGTACACAGAACACCTACAGCAGATGATAAAAAACGTCTTCAGTTCTTCCTAAAGAAGCCAGGGATAAACAGCCCCTCTGGTATTGAAGAGGTGAACATGTTCACAAACCAAGGAACAGTGATCATTTGAACAACCCTCCAGTTTGGGCATCCCTGGCAGCCATCACTTTGACCTGCACAAGCCATGCTGAGACAGAGTAGCTGACAGAAGCGCTGCCCAGCATCTGAAACCAGCGCAATGCAGACAGTCTGACTAGTTGAGGGAGACTGGCTGACACTCTGCCCAGACAATCCATGGATGGAGAAGCACCACTCACTGCTGGAGAGGAGGGTGGTGAAGTTCTAAATCTTGGGGATAATTTTGATTCATGTAATTCATGTATCTAAAGAATAAAGGAAAAATTATATAACCATCTCAGTAGAAGCAAAAGAAATGTGAAATTAAAAATACCACCCGTGATGAAAATCTTAGCTAACTAGGAATAAAAGGAAATTTCCTAAACTTGATAAAGATCATGAAAAGAACTAATAAACATTATAATGGAACTTTGAAAGTTTTTACTTTGAGTTTAGGAAGAAGATAAAGGTAACCATTTTGACCATTTCATTTAACATTATAGTACTAAGATCCCAAACAATGTAGTAATGAAAAAAAGTATAAGATGAAAACCTTGTTCCCTGAGAAGGAATTCAGAAGGCCGTGGTTCACAAATATAATTATGTACATAGGAAATTGAATAGAATTATTTGTGTGTCTTTTTCCCTGACTCAAACAGCCCTGTTTATAATACCTTAATTAAATTATACTTTTAATGTAAAATACCGTATTTTGTACATTTTATGAAAAACTTAAGTGAAACTCTTCATGTGTATCTTCTACATCATCATCTACTTCTCTAGAGATACTCTTGAGTCAACTTACACTTTTTGTCAGAGGTTATCATCCTCACTTCTAAGTTAAGTATTTTAAAGTGCCTCTTGTTTAAAAGTGATCTTTAAAAGGTTTATAGCATCAAACTTTCATAGTTATGAAATTACAAAATAGTTAATCTGCTTAAATATCTGTGATTACTTCTTGGCAGGTCTGCCAAGTGAGCTCTGTAAGCCTCTAAAACCATGATGATGGATATGTACCTTTCCCAGATTTTCAAAATAATACAAAGAGTGTTTTCGAATAATATCTGTGGAAACTCCCTCTTTCTTACTGGATAGTTCCGAGAGGAGGGTAAAACCTGCCCTATAAAGATGTATTTGGTATTTTAACTGACTGTTTGTATCCTTTATAACTTTTATTATTGTAAGTAGTTTTCTATTTTTTCTTTGCTTTGGAGCTTTTCCTCATTTTACATAGATGTGTTTATGTGAAATCATTGATTTACTATTTTTTCAGATATCAATTTATAGAAGAAGCTTTTCAGAATCAGAAAGTGATTATAGATACACTAATCACCAAATTGATGGAAAAAACAAAATACATCAAATTCACAGGAAATCAGATCCAGAACAGGTAAATATACATTTATGGTATTATAACGGGTCAGCTTGGTATAATGTGTTAAGTATACTCACTTTTAGGACATTTTATTTAACTCATGGTAAAGTAGATCTAAGTAAGCTGGCAGAAGGCTCTGGTAACAAATACTTGATCACAGTTCTAGAAACTGTAGGTTTCTGGGAAGTTTCGATTTGAAAGCATCTTTTTAGCCATGAAATTTTAAAATCATTATGATAATAAACTGCATTTTATAGCAGTTCATTTAAGGTATTGATAATTCATCATTATTGGTGTTTTTTTATTTTAAATGAATATTAGGATTTTAAAATAAAATTGACTTTTCCCAGTGTTGTAAAATATTTTAACACCTGATTATATACATAAATGTCATTTTGAGAATTCTAATTCTTAAAATAGAATTCTTAAAGGTAGCTAATTCTCACAGGTAGCTAATCTGTGAGATGCCTGCTCTGGGCTGTCATCCTTTAACTGCAGTGAATTGCAGATATTAGGACCAGGACACAGGGATCATTAAACTGTTTCACACACCTTTTATTCTTCGTCATATACAATACTTTAAACAGTTTCTACACACTACCCATTATATCTTGTCTTCCAAAGGAAGATACCATCAGCTGTCCAAGGCTCATGTCTCACAGTCCAGCGTGATCGGGCGAGCAAACACTGGCCTCCGCGAGGGAGAGGGAGTTAGTCTGGCTCCCCCTCCTCTATCACATTTAGGGCGCACACCGACATTTTGCAGCTGTACAACACCTATGAAATTCCATGTCCCCTTCCTTTTATTTTGCATACAGAAATAGCACTCCTCTGACTAAATAAATCAAGAAATGCTTAGTAGAAAGAGCCTGAATGAGAGAGACTTCACGGGGGATTTGAGTGTTGTTCTCAGGGAAACGTGTAAGCCTTTTGTGGTTTATCTTTCGTGGGAGTGATCATACACTGTTATTCTTATACTTTTGGAACATGACTAGGGTTGGGCATTGGGGAATTTTTCCAAGGAATTCTTTGGTTTACCTGACTGAACAAAAAAGATTCTTAACTTTTTCTTGATGCCACATTATTAGTAGTATATCTGTTCATTTTTATATATTGTGGTAATAACAGTTTTAGTGTGGATCTTTTAGTTGTTATTCTTCCTTGTCAACCCTAATTTCATTTTACCTTTCTCTTTCACGTAACAAGTATAGTTAACCAAAAGCTATTTTCCTTACCGTGTTTTAATCATAATACTGTACTTTCCTAAATAGAGTAATTGGTGGGTGTAGAAATTTTTGTAACTGAGTAATTGAAAACTTGTAATGAATATTTATAGAAAAAGGAGAGGTAATTACAGTCATTTCTATCATCTAGTGGCAAATGGTAGCAATTGTAAAATTGTTAATTTTATGTGAAAGATTTACCCTTGATGAAATTCGCCCTTTTGACTTTTTTCTTACTTGTTCACAATGTATATAGTATGAGCTCTGGGCCAGATTTCACTTTTTTTATTAACATGTGGATGTCCATCTGTTTCCACACCATTTGTTGCTGTCGAGTTGCCTTGGCCCCTTCATAGAACATCAGCTGACCGTATATGTGTGAGGATATTTCTGGACTCAATTCTGTTCCATTGTGTTTTTCTTTTTTGCCAGTACTCCACTTGCTTCATGACTGTGGCTTTTTTAATAGTAAGTTGTAAAATCAGATACTGAGAATGCTTCAAATTTATGTTTTTACTTCTTTGTTAGTGGTTTAAGCTGTTTTTACAAAGTAGTGCACTATTTTGTGGAAGGATTTGGGTTTTTCAAATGAGGATAAAAATGAAAGAATCTTTGGATCAGTTGTCAATTTCTTACATCTTTATAGCCTACCTGATTATAGAAGGGTTAAACTTACTGGACTGACTTGATGAGTAACTCGTTTGTACACAAGTGTGCAAAACATGGCACTGGCGGTTCTTTTTTCATTCTATTCTACTGCCATGAGGGTTGAAATTAGTTTCTTTAACCCTATAGCCAGTATTGATGTCAAATAATTATCTTGAAGAAATTTACAGCGGAAAATAAAATCTCTGCCCCTTTGGTCTTAAGTTTTGAGGGTGACAATGGGAGAAGTGAATGAAAGAAAAGAAGCTTTTTATTTACCTCATAATATTCGGTGGGTGCCCCAATTCTTTCCTGCTTCTAATATATTCTGCTGTGATGCTGCATATTTTCTTTCTGTCCATCTCAATCTCTATGAAAACAGCATTTCCATTATTTCTAATCAAAGGAAAAAACATAGTTGTTGGTTGATTAAACATAAAGTAGTTTGGCTGCTTAAAGACAAATGTGTTATTGAAAGTAACAAACTACTGTTGTCTTTTTGCTTCTGTTTGGGTACAATGGACAGTGTAGCAGTTCAGATGACTAAATAAGAGTGACACGTGTACCCTCTTCTTAGTTTAAGTAAATACAATAGAACTCTTTCAGAGTCATTGTTTTCTTTATCTTGTTTATTAATCTTTTTTTTTGTCTTTCCTTTTAGGCTGAGTATTGATTTTCCTGGGTGTCACATTAATCTTTCCAAACCATATTTTCTTAAAATGTGTTTCTCTTACAATTTTACCCACTTTGACTTTAAGATTGAATTAAGTGGCTATATCTTTCAGAAGAATTGTATTTCTGTTGTCTTCAAGAAAGTCAATTTACTCAGAAGGATCCTTAGAAATAGCTGAGCTTTTAAGTGTTGTCTTATATAGACCTTAAAAAATCAATTTTAAATATTGTAAAACAAATTTTCTGCCTTAGATCTTGCCCCCCTTTCGTTTAATTTTCAGGATAATTGAAGTAAATCAAAATCAAAAGCAGGTGGAACAGGATATTAAAGTTGCTATATTTACTCTGATGGTAGAAATAAATAAAAAAGGAAAAGCTCTACTGCATCAGCTTGAGGTAAGTTACTGTTAATGGGACAGTCAGTTGTAGTGATTTAATATAATTTCACATGCATTTGTAAATTTGAAATCTCAGCCTCTTGCATATAATTGTTTTATGATTTAATAATATTTTTTCTCCATTCTCATGTTTTCCCTTGCCAGGCTCTACATTGTCAAGCTGATGATTTATGACTTTATAAAAATAGTAGGAATGCTTTTTCTTGAATGTTGGTCTTTATAGTACTATAGCCTGAAAAATTAGACCAAAGCTACATTAACACAGTTTAACTGAGGGCACATAGGAATGGGTGCTGTCTAGCAAAAAACAAACATTTAATAGCATCCATGAGGTTGGGCTATTTATGTAAAGGATGGAAAAGACATTTGTTCTGGTATATCCAGTAACAATTTTTTTAAACCAGATCTTATGATGGTGTTTTATAGATTGTAATTTTTTTACTCTTTTTCAGGAGGTTTCCAAATACAGTAATTCTGAGTAAGAGAATTTAAGCTTTTTTTTTTTTTTGAGCTTTTGACATACCCCATAAGGTAAATGTAGATAACTGAATTATCAGAAATCTTTGTGTGAAGTGTTAATGACCAAAAACTCAGCTGAGTACATTTGAAGATCTATTTATTAAGCAGTACATGAATCTGGCAGTGTCCCGTCTAGCAAGCAGGGAGATTTCCCCTCTAGGCATGTCTCTGTTCTTACTGTTCACTCATAGTCAAACACGGTGCCTTGCTTGCAGGAGGAGCTCTGTCCATGCTGATGAGATGAATCACTTTAGAGATTCTTTGAAGTGACAATTTTGCATCACCAAAGGGGAGGGGCAAAGTTGAAAAAAGTTCTAGAAAGATACCGTTACACTAAGGTAGCTTCATATAGTTTTCAATTATATACATTTAACCTTATGAGGTAGTAGGTAAAAGGAGGTACCGCCTGCCCTTAATATTTTAGAGTCTTAATTGTTAAAGCCAATACTTAGGGAGAAATGCTTAGAGCATTTTGGATAGTTTCTCACTGCAAATAAGAAAAATATTACTACTTTCATCAGCTGTTTTACATACCTGAAAGTCAAGGTCCAAAGTCAGTGTTTGACTTCAGATATATTGAGGTTATGACTTCTACATGACATATTAACATATTAATTGCATCATACTTTAGAATTCTTTTAGTATAGTGATGCTGAAGGAATTCACAGTAAAGAAGCAATTTAGAATGAGAAAAGAGCCCTAGCCTAGCTGAGTTGGCTCAGTTGGTTAGAGCATTGTCCTGATATGCCAAGTTTGCAGGTTCAGTATCCAATCAGAGCAAATGCAAGAATCAACCAATGATTGCATCAATTAGTGGAACAACAAGTTGATGTTTCTCTCTCTCTCTCCCTCCTTTTTTCCTCTCTCAAAAACTCAATCAATAAAAAGAATGAGAAAAGAGTAAAAGAACTGTAGTATTTGAATATTTTTAACAGACTCCTAGAAATAATTTAGTTAAACACCATTATAGTTGACAAAATTATAAGTTCTTCGTCAGAAGGTTCTGACCCTCCTGCAAATGTATGGCCACTTCATGGTTTATCAACCATACCAAAAACAAAGATTAAAATAATTCTGTATTCTTTTAGAAACAAGTATTTAGTGAAGAAGTATTCTGGCTAGCAAGAATCAGACCCCATTTATAGTAACTTTTTTTTTTTTCAAGATTCTGTGATTTTTTTAATTAGAAGGCTTTAAACAATTTTAAGAATTTTCAAAGCTCTGCTAAAAATCAGGTAATGACTTCAAATTACTTTCTCAGAGGTTAGTACTGTTTGTGGTTGTTTACAAACTTCACTGTAAATCTGAATCATTTGCAGATTTAAAAAAAAAAAGATAATAAACAAAAGATGGAGCTTTGACCAAAGCTCCAATCTCTATGGATGATGAACTTGGTCATCAGTATTATTTTTAATCAACTTATTTTGCTTACAGTTTTCATAACACCTTTTAAATATGGCTGTAGTCTTCCTACCCATTCTCCTGGTTCTCAGAATCCTCCTTTAAGGTAAATAAATGCAGTCAGTTTTATCTAGGACTCAAGAAGAGAAAGCAGCCCAAATAGGTGTTGTGATGGAAGACCAAGAAACCAGACCTTTTGATTCTCAATTTGCAACCTAATTAAAAGTTAGGTTTCAAAAGTTAGGTTCTAGACAGAATTTCTATTCTTTCCAGAATGTGTCCAAACAGTTCTTAAGGAGGTCAGAAATAGCTTAGTAAGTTGTGTCTGAACTTTAAACTAGACATGGGAAAGCCACTGGCCATCGCTGCAGTCTTTCCTTTCATTCCCTTAAATGTCTATTTTCCACATTCGAAACTGACTATGGCTAGGATCTAGATTCATTTTTTTATTGAGATCATAAGTCCATATTGGCATGTAGCAGTTTTACTTTTAAACTTTTTTCCCCCCTGAAACCAATGGAAAGCCCTATTCTCTTCCCCTTTCCTTGCCAGGTAAAGGCGATTTTTGTATAGAGACCTTTAAAATAACCCACCTTCAGTGCTCCTCACTCTTTACTAACCTGTGTTCTTCCTTGTGTACTTCCCTTAGAGAAAGGTAAATGTGCTTTTATGTAGTTTTTCTGAGAGTGCATTGGTGCTTTCATGTAATTCTAGACAAAAATATCTTTTTTACCACTTGCAAATCAAACATGTTGTCTGCTGTATGGCATGACTAGACACAGACTGGTTGCAATCAGGACTAGAATGCCTGAAAGGTGAAAGCATGTCCTTGAGTAAACCATGTGATCTGGTACCTTGACTAGATTGTGTGGGTTGGGGGTACATCTGTTTCATTTTGGGTATTGAATTTAACAGGCATGTACTGTATTATAGCTAATCTACAGTTTTTGCTCCTTTTGGACATCAGGAGATACATGAACACTAACCTAAATCTCAGAAAGCCAAATATATAAAGCCAAACTGAGGGCAGGGCGTGGAGGCTGTGGAGGCAGCAGTGGTTCTAGGTAGTATTTTGGGTCACAGCGTTTCGCTGCAGTAAAACTGATTTTTTATACTAAGGGGGGAAAGCATTACGAGTATTTTCAATTTTTTAGAAGTGGTGCTTATTCTAATTTGATAATCTGAAAAATGACCATTAAGGTATGTGTTAGGCAGAATTAATTTGGAAATTTTCTTTTCAGAGCCTTGCAAAAGACCATCGCATGAAACTTATGCAACAACAACAGGAAGTGGCTGGACTTTCTAAACAGTTGGAACATGTCATGCATTTTTCTAAATGGGCAGTTTCCAGTGGCAGCAGTACAGCCTTACTTTATAGCAAACGACTGGTAAGATAGACCAAATATGACATTTAATATGCCATCAAAATACAAAGAGAAATAGTGGAGTTACTAGAATCCTTAAAATACAGAAATCATTTCTCTTTATGTTTAAATGCCTATTACCTATTGTGGGGGTGCTCCACCCATAGCTGAGCATGCGCTGCCCCTCCCTCGGCCCCTCCCCATATTCCCCTTCCTTGCAGCTACGGTGAGAATAAGTCTACCAAGACATGATCTGCTTGGGGAGGAAAGGTGGCCGATCTCTCAAAGACAAGGGCCAGGAGCCTGTTCCTCAATGGACTTTTACTGGGTTTATTTGCATAGGATTACAGGCTGTATACGTAAAGCTCAGCAGTCATTGTCAGGCAGTAATGATCAAACAAGATAACATTCAAAGAACTCTGAAGGCTTATTTTGAGTCATAGATAGCTAAAGGGCCATAAAACTTTGGGGAAACAAACTCATTTCATGCTTGGAACCTTATTTAAATTGAGGGTATTAGCAAAGCAGGTTTCACAGGATTTTATATATTCTTTCTTAGGCCTGATCACTGGGGGAACCCACCCTTTCCAGCACAGGGCTGCACCTACCTCTGGCATTGTTTCAGGCTTAAGTCAGGCAGGGGAAGTAAGGCAGCCAAGAAATTAGGATACTTCTTGCAGACAGAATGAGGACTTAGGCTGTCAAAGCCAAGGGGTAAGGGTCCATCACCCCCTTTTTCTATAGCCCCCAAGACCTTCCCCGAGGGCCTCCACATGATCATGCCTGTCTTAGGTTATCCCTCCTTTGAGGAATCTTACCCATCATTGACTAACTGGTCATCTGCTCAGGGCCAAGCAGGTTGAAGTGAAGGGGGCAGAGGCAGTAGCTGTCCATGTTAGAGATTGGTGAAAAGGAAAGGAATGATTTATTCAAGTTATACAGACTTAAGAGTAATGACTTAATGTCTTCATCAAAATCCCAAAGTCCCTTAAAACACCCACAAACACACACAGTCCTCCCTTCCCTCCTTTGCCCTGCCTGGGGTAGCTTATCTCAGGAAAAGAAAAAGAAGTCCGTGGATCAGGCAGCCCCCGGTCCTTCCCAGTAAGCGATGGTCAACTGGTAGGCCTCCCTCAGTTCCCGGCACCATCACTGTGTCGCCATGACCTCCAGTTCTTACACCAAAACCACATGGCACCTTCTCGTGGCCCACCAGTAAGAGTCCTTTCACCCCTTTCCTTCTGCAGCGTCTCTCCTGCATTCTTTCGAACTGCTAAGAGAGAGCTCTGCATCACTGCTACATCTTGCTTTCTAGCTTCCTGAGCTGTGTGGCAAAGGGAGACCCAAAGCCGCGTGATTCTCCCCTGCCAAAGCCACGTGGTGATTCTCTGCTAAAGCTGAGTGGTGGTTCTTGTCATGGCTGCTGTGCCTGGGTTTAAATCCCAGCACTAATATTCCTTTGCAGCCCCGTTTCCGACTCCTCCCACAGTCGGCTACACTTCCCAGCACTCATATTTCCCAGCTTTTCTGGGCTGCCATGGTAAGTATGCCGTGGCCCTGTGGCTTGGAGCCAGTCATCTCCAAGGTCTCATGTGGGCTCTGTAACCAGGGGGAGTCACCTCTTAGTTACATCTTGGGTGGAACTCACTCCCTTCTCCCTGGCTCAAAGCATGGCCACAGCTATTTAACATATCTGTGAAACCAGTTAAAGGTTATAAATTTGTTAAGTGACCATTCTAGAGGTTATCTATAAAACTGCTGCTATGCAAAACAACTCTCAATGGCCCTGCTGCATGTGTCCCTTCCCCCAACTCACCCCTGGGGCGGGGTGGGGTGAGGACATCATATATCTTTCTAATATTTCCTGGACACCTTGAGTTCTAGACCCCATTACAAATCCTTCTTTTGGGGTCCCCCTGGCTGCACCCTTTTACAGATGTGCCAAAGTAATCAAGCCTCAACTACAACAGGTGGGTGTACACAGCCCACACAGTGGGTGCACCTCTAGTACCCAGCTTGGGTAACAGGAGGCTGTGCCACTGGACCCTACAAGACACCTGCTCTATTAGGCCTCTCTACCAATCCTGTGAGACATAGCAACTCTACCTAATACATAGAAACAAAACAGGGAGGCCACCAAAATGAGGAGACAAAGAAACATGGACTAAATGAAAGAACAGATCAAAACTCCAGAAAATAAAGAAAAAACAAAGTGGAGAAAAGCAGTCTATCAAGTGCAAAGTTCAAAACTCTGGCTATAAGGATAATCAAGGAACTTAGTGAGAACCTCAACAACATAAAAAAGATCCAGTCCGAAACAAAGGATACGTTAATTAAAGAGCAATTTTCAGGGAATCAACAATAAAGTAGATGAAGCCAAGAATCAAATCAGTGATTTGAAACATAAGGAAGCAAAAAAGAACAATCAGAATAGCAAGAAGAAAACAGAATCCCAAAGAATGAAGATAGTATGTGAAGAGTGTCTGGGACAACCTAAAGTGTTTCAACATTCACATCATAAGGTTACAGAAGGGAAAAGAGAGAGCAAGAACTTGGAAACCTATTTGAAAAAAAGTGACAAACTTCCCTAAAGAGAATCTTAGGTTAAAGAGATTAAGGTTAAAAGAGAAGGTTAAAGAGAATCTTAAAAGCTGCAAGGGGAAGGCAGAGAGAGTTACTTGCAAAGGAGTTCCCATAAGACTGTCAGTTGATTTCTCAAAAGAAACTTTGCAGGCTTGGAGGTATTGGCAAGGAATATTCAAACTGATGAAAAACAAGGACCTATAACCAAGATTACTCTACCCAGCTAAGCTGTCATTTAGAATCAAAGCACAGATAAAGATATCCAGTCAATCTTTTTATCAGTATAAAATTTTGTTTCTCTAATTTTACTCTGTAAATTTTTAATTATAATAAGGAGAAAATAATAGATAGGATTAATTCATCTGTACAAAGATACTTCGAAATAGGAGATTGTCCTCTATGCTATTTGTAGAAGAAGATAGGCACAGAGAATCATCAAGAACCAATATTGTCAGATTCCTGATTGACTAAATTGTGTGTTTTCTAATTTTTAAAAACCCATGGAACTCCATTTAGTCTTAATACGTCTTTAGAAGAGGATGTAAATTGCCTGCAATACATGCAGAGTTCATGCTTATGATTATTTTTAAACATTGAAGGATTTTTAATCTCAAGAAATTAAAAAATTGCTATATTATATAATCTGCTCTTCAGAGTTCTTATGCTTTGTAAATACAGGTATGTTTATCTAGGTTATCCTTCAGATGTTACTTTTACACATTTAGAAGGATTTCCAGTCTCAGAAATTTTGAAAATCACTATATTATACAACTCTGTTCTTTAGAGTTTTTATGCTTTATAAATATAGCCATGTTTCTCAGGTTATCCATTGAAATAATGGCTTTTACATGTCTCAAAAATAATTAAAAATGCCTCTGGCCGGGTGCCTCAGTTGATTAGAGCATTGTCCAGTACACTGAAAGGTTGCAGGTCGATCCTGGTTGGAGCACATATGGGACACAACCAATCAATGGTGCTTTTCTTTCTCTTTCCTCCTCCTCCTCTCTCCCTCCCTCCCTTTGTCTCCCTCCACCCTCTCTAATATCAATAAACATATCCTTAGATGAGGATTCTTAAAAAATGCTTTGCTGTCCTGAAATTTTTATCTTAGTTCGTAATTCTTAGTTCATCTCTTAGTTATAGGAACAGTGGTTGGTAAAAGACCCCTGTGGAATAGTATAATCCTTTCAGAAGTCCAGTTTTAAATATATTTTAAAACATTTTCACAGTATTTCCTTAGGATTTTGTTAGCCTCATATTACTTAAAAGGAAGATAAGAAATATTGACAGGAGAATAAACACAGTCATTATTTTTTACTAACAGTAATATATTTATACTATTGATTAGGAAACTATTATGGCTTAAGTAGTAAAAAGGAATTCCACCATTCTTTTATTTCATTTCTCTATCCCCATCTAATTGGTCTTCAAAGACCTTAATGTTTCCTGAATGTCTTGTGCCAATTCCTTCTAATCTTCAGACATACGGTGATCTCTTGCCCAGGCCCTTAGCGCCCTTCCATAGAATGCCTTCTCTTTCTTCTGAATAAGTAATGCTCATTGTTTTTGTGTGATTCCCAGGTTTGCTTTAGTTCCCTCTTCCTTTCCTCTCAGCAGCGTTCAATGACCAAAATTGGGTTCTATTCCATTTCTGTTTTTACAAAGCTCATGTGCATATCTGCGTCATACCATTACTGCTTTCTATCTCCTGTTAGAATAGATGTGTGTTTTCCTACGAATCTCACTCGATTATACTGCTAAAGTTAGGGATTGTGTGTTACCCAGTGCTTGCTGTGTATAATGCACATCCACATTTTGGGCCCAAACTTTCAGGGGAAAAAATTATTTTAATCTTTAATTAATTAAGTAATTTATTTATTTATTTTTAGAAACAAAACTGATTCTCTCCCTGGCTGGTGTGGCTCAGTGGATTGAGCACCCGCCTGAGAACCAAAGGTCACTGGTCTGATTCTCAGTCAGGGCACATGCCTGGGCTGCAGGCCAGGTCCCCAGTTGGGCGTGTGTGAGTGGCAGCCCATCATAGAAAACAAAATTGATTATTGTATTTCAGGGTATTATTAGTCTGCACATGGATATCATTATTGCTTTCTAGAGATACACTTTTAACACATATGCATAAATGAAAGAATTCAAAACATACTGATATGGAATTAGTACTACCCATGTATACTGCACATCCTTACTTTTCCATCAGAAATTTGGGCAAAAAGTGTGCACTATACATTGCAAAGTGTGGTATCTAAAAAGATAGAAATAAGGCTAGAAAGAGTCCTAAGGTGAGTTGGATTGGAATTAGACATATAAGTGTGAACTGAAGACTTTTATACATATACACTGAGATCTGGAAATACTTACAGATGTTTATGTACGTATGGGCATATATGTGTGTGTTATGCCCCAATAGCAGTGAGCCCACTGTACTTCCAGATTGTCATTTCTAAATTCCAGACAAAGTGAGGAAAAGCACAAAATGTAACCAGAACATCTTTACCAGAGAAACAATGGGCACATGTAAAAAGGACCAGGGTCCAGCCTAAAAGGACTCTGCCTGGGCAAATCAACCAATTTGAGGCTTAAACTAACTAACCATAGTAATGGATCACAACATGTTGAATTAAGTAGGAACATATGAGTCCATGATGATATAAACAAGTAAATGATAAAGTTTGTCAGAATGAAAAAGGAGAGAACTGTACTGAACAATATTTAAAAAGCTAAAAAAATTAAAAAATAATGTAGAAAAATAGTGGACATAGAGAAGCACATTTGGTAACTATCATAGAGGTAATTCTTCCAGGAGTTATCAGTGGATACTAATGTGGGTAGGGGATTGATGAGGAATAGGATTTTAGTATAATCCTAAATACTAGTCAGTTTTTGCGAAATACTAATCAGTTACAAAGGTAGAAAATGGTGAAGTTAATGTGGAGAAACTAGGCAGCAAAATTGCCAGGTAATGGAGACTAGTATCAGTGGTGATGGGACAAGCTGACACGCTGAGCTTCCTGCTGTGATGCACTGACAAGTGCACATTATCGTTTGCATGGATTTCTGCCACGGATGCTTTGCTAAGGCTGACAGGAGGAAATAACCCTCAGACCCAGGTGGAAGGTCATATCCTGCAGAATGTAAGTCTTGAAATCTTTAAAGCCAACAGGGGACGTGAATGACAGGGAAATATTAAGGAATTGAAGGGGCATGGCAACTAAATGCAACCGATGTTCCTCGATAGCATCCTGGAAAGAGACATGTTACCACATTTGGCATTTGAATGAGGATAGGGTGGTAGTATTGTAAAAAACTTTCTGGATTTGGAATTCTGCTGCTTACATTAGAGGGTCTTTGTTTTAGAATATAGCCACTGGAGTGTTTAGGGGAGGCAGAGCCTCGTGTCTGTAGCTTACTATGCAAAGGTTCAGAAAAAGACTAGTAATAGTGTATAGGCACAGAAGCAGCTGGGGGTGCCTGAACAGATGTGCTAATGCAGGAACAGTTGGGAAGTCTGGGTGAAAGGTATCTTTCACTTTTCTGCAGTTTTTAAACTATTTCAAAATAAATTATTAAGTGTTAGAAAATGAAATATGAGGCTATTTACAAAATAAAGCTCTTGAAATCTTTTGGTTAGTGTATTATGATGAGCATGTTTCACAGTGAGAATTGTTAGAGGATGCAAAAAACAATGAAAAGGAGAAAAGTTCAGAGAAAAGAACATTGTATTGCATGCTATTTGCTATTTTGGTCCCAAAATAAGTTTTACTCAGAATTTGTTCTAGCTGTTTGAGATAATGTAGCAATCGAAGCAAATGTATTTATTTATTGAATACCTGCTATATATCAGGCAGCGTTCAAAGTACTTAGGGAACAGAAATTAAAATAAAAATCTCTGCCCTCAAGAAGTTGCATTTTAGTGGAGAGAGATAGTCAATATCAAAATAAGTAAAATATATAAACTTACATCGTATTAAATACTCTACAGAAAAGTAAGGGAAGAAGAGTCTGGGAGCATTGCAGTAGGGTTTGTAATTTTAGATAGGGAAGTCTTATCTAAAGAGGGTGATATTTGAACAAAAACGTGAAACAGGTGAGGAAGAGTGAACACATATTCAGGAAGAGTGTTCTGGCCGAGCACACAGCAAGTGCAAAGACCCATGTGGGAGTTTCGGCGATGCGGACACCCGGGGAGCCTGGGGGGCTGGAGTGGCGTGAATGAGCTGAGCAGTACAAGTCAAATCAGAGACCTAACAGAAAGCCAGATAGTACACAGCCTTTAGTTCATTATGAGGACTGTGGTTTTTAATCTGAATGAAATGGGAAGCCATTGGAAGGGCTTGAGGAAAGGAGTGACAGAAAGGATTTATATTTTAACACAATCACTGTAGCTGCAGGGAATGGCCTGCAGGTAGTTGAGGGCAAGGGAAGAGTAAGGTAGACCAATTAGAACCTTACAGCAGTAAGTTGGCTTTTCTAGGGTGGTAGGGGTAGATAGGAGAATTGTTAGAATTATCTATATCATAAGGATAAAGCCAACAGAATTTGCTGACAGATTGAGTATAGGGAATAAGAAAAAGAAAGAAACCAAGGACTAACTAAGCAGTAGGAAAAATAGTGTTATGTGTTACATAGGTGGGGATGACGATAGGATGAGAAGAGCTGGGGAGGAAGATCAGGAGTAAGTTCCCTTTTAGACTACTAAATTTGAGATGCCTATTTGACAAGCAGATGGAGATGCTGAGTAAGCATTTGGAAATGCAAGTTCAGAAGAGGTCGAGACTTGAGATATAAATTAAGTCGTTTAAACCACGAGACTGGAAGTGATCACTAAAAGTATGTGGGTGTAAGAGAAGAGAGCAGCTGAAAGACTGAGCCCTGGGGCATTTCAGGATACACAGTCATGGAAAGCAGAAAGAACCAGTAATGAGGACTGAGATGGTGCATTGGAACCCAGACCTATTCTCAGTGACCCCCAAAGCAGCAGCTAGTGAAATAAAAGGAAAACTGTGATGCTAGTGTGCTGGAATCCATGCGAAGAAAACTGTTTCCATGATGGCCAAGCGACCACCTAGCTGTGTGTGGAAAGCCGCTGAAAGCCTGAATGGAGGGTTTCAGAAAAGAGTCGAGGAAGAGGGATGGGTGACAGTAAACATAGACAAGTCTTTTGAAGAGTTTGTGCTGTAAAAGGGGGCAGCTGGTGGAGGAGAAAAGGAGCCAAGAGTGTTGTTTTTAGTTGGGAAAGTTAAAGCATGTGTATATGTTGGTGGACATGATCCAGTAAAATGGGAAGCTCAGTGATACCAGAAAGGAAAGAAAATTGCTGAGCACTGTCTATGAGGAGCCAAGAGGCTGGGCGCTGTTGTGCAAATGGAAGAGTTGGCTTTAGCTGGAAACTTGGCCATTTAATTCATTGTGATAGAAGGAAACACTGATATTGATAGGTGTTGCTTATTTGTGGAAGGTCCTTGATTATTCCTGTTTTCTTAGTGAACTAGTAAGCACGATCATCAGCCAAGATTGAGAATGGGGGAGCAGATTCTGGAGAGGTGGAAAGAGAAAAGGAGGTTTGAAACGGTCATTTAGGAGAGTAGGGAAGGTGAAGGACCAAAGAAATTTCATATGAGAGCCAGTCAACCTTAGAGACCGATCTGAAGTAAGTTTTGTTTTACCTGGGGAAAAGGTTGAGAGGAGGGAAGGGATTATGAGTGATGGGGTATGTGAGAGAAAGAGGTGTTGAGGGTATCTTCAAGGAGATGATTTTGATGATTGGCCCTGGGAATTCAAGGTGGATAAGAAGGATCCTGGGGGATAAGAGGGTGGGGATAAGGGTAAGGTGAGAGCAAAGGCTTATGGGACCTTCAGGGGTTGCGGGGGTAATCGTGTGGGTGCACAGAGGAAGCAAGCTGTTAGGAAGGATCATCTAGTTGGATAGGAGTCATGGTAAAGGTGGTGATAGTGAACTAGGAGCTAAACTCTTCAGGGACTGAGGGAGAATGACCCAAGTATTCACTGAGGACGGGGTAGGGGTAGGGGGTGGTTGATGACCAGAAGCTCGAAGCATAGGAGCCAGGAGAGCCGTCCCACTAACTAGCGGGCCTAGTTATGGCTGTATTTATTATATTTCCTCAGCAGAGGTCAGTTTGTCTTTTCTGTAACTCATTAGTCACCTAATCTAAATTCCGAATCTTTAAAACAGTAAGGAAAATAAATAAAAGCAAAATGTGTTCAATTTTTTTCCTTTACAGATAGTTGGTGCTTCTGTGAAGTTTTATTAAAAAACTGACTTTAACCTATCACTTTAAAATACTTTTAGTTTTGTATTCAACAGCATAGCCAACTGAGTTATACCTCAAAATTTTTTGTGTTTTGGAAAGAAAACTGTGATGTATACTTTTTAAAAAAGATTTTATTTCTTTTTAGAGAGGGGAAGGGTTAGGAAAAAGAGGAGAGAAACATCAATGTGCGGTTGCCTCTCATGTACCCCCTACTGGGGACCTGGCCCACAACCCAGGCATGTGCCCTGACTGGGAATCAAGCAGGGACCCTTTGGTTTGCAGGTGGGCACTCAACCCACTGGCTGACACACCAGCCAGGGCTATGTCTATTTTTTATAATTTATATTTTGTTGTTGATTTTGTGTTGACATACATACAGGAGACTTTTGTGTGTATGTATTTACTAGGAGTATAATAAATTATTTGCCTGATAAAGATATTAATGTTTAATTGTCTCCTTTTTTCTAGATTACATGCCGCCTACGGCACCTTCTTCGAGCAAGGTGTGATGCTTCCCCAGTGACCAACAATACCATCCAGTTTCACTGTGACCCTAGTTTCTGGGCTCAAAATATTATCAATTTAGGTAGGTCATTGTGTGCTTTTTCTCAAGTGCTTTTGTTTCTGGAACTCTTAATGATTATGATATGTTATTGAAAATGTGTTTCCTTCTACCCCCAAAGTACTTTCATTATTTTGTTTTAAAGACATGGAATTTTCGTTAGTATTTTAGTCATATGTGTATATATGTGACCCATGCACACATCTAAACACATGTAAAATATGGATGATGTGAACATCCTCCATTGACTCAGGACTAAGGAGTTCTGTTTTTCACAGAATCTTTACTTGAACTTTTTATCAGAATTGGTTGATAAAAGGTCTTGACTTATATCTCATATAGGATTTTTGATATTTAGAATATTTTCTAGTAAAATAGTATTTCTCATACTATTACCAGCTTACTTACTCTTTAAACCCAGTCATCAAACATCTAATATTGTTTTATTTGCTTTATCTTGCTAGGAGAAACTTTTTATTTTGTTTTCTTTTGCCTTTTATGTAGTAACTATATATATTTCAATTTCCCAATGGAAGTATAACGGAAAATGTGTACTGAAAAGTGCTCAAATGTCAAATACTAGAATGCAGTGCATTTTATCATAAAGGAACATTAGGAGCTCAGACATCCTTGCTGGTAGTTCAGTAGGAAGTTGTTACTTTAGCTTTCTGGTTACATTATTTGCTAGAAGAAAAAGTCTTCACTTTCTTGCCTCCTTTCTTCCTTTCACGCAAGGAAATTACAGAAACAGAAATTTAAGAATTCCCTAAATATTCTTCATCAACTGCAGATAATCCTCTTTGATGACAGCATTTGGGCTCATTAACTTTGTTTCAAAATTATCGTAGATGGTTGCTCTCTCATTCCGTAAGCTAGATCTGAATAGGAAACGAAGGAAGAGCAGGAGAGAGAGCCAGTACGCTCCCAACACACCAGGAAAGGAGGGACTAGGGTTACACAAAGCTCATCCGTGCAAGGGAAGGACAAAAAGAATGATGACAGGTGACCCTTTAAAGAAAAAGTAAGGTGACCCCTGCAGTTCAGTTTAGAAGTACAGGCAGCCATATGTTTATTGATTCATATCAGGCAACTGGAGTCATGCACTCTCCTGCCTGTATTAGTAAAAAGAAGCACCTTAATGAATACTAGGCATGTGTCTAAGTGACTGTCTCTTAACCCTGCCCCGTCCTACCAGACCATGTTCAGTTCTACAGAGAACCTGTCACAAGTTTTATATCCATACAGGCAGTCATCTATGTACAGATGTATTACTAATAAGCATAGCACTTACAGTATAGATGCAGGCATAGGTAAAATTAAAAATACATGTGTAACTACACACATGAGTGGATATGGTTTCAGATAAGTCAGTATCAGCAAAAACAAAAATAGCAGGTCCTGTTTGTGAAGAGTTTGTGAAAGTCATATAATAAAGTGAGATAATATCCTTTGCTGTAGGACTTCTCAGACCTGTCGCTTACAGCTCTGTAAATTGTCATTTACAATGAGATTTACATTTTAAATCTTACAAAGGAGACAAGTTCCCCAAGCTTATTTATCCATGGCTTCTGAGAAGTATGCTTCATAGTGCAAGGGGAAAATGTTGATACGAATATTCAGTTAATGTTTTGGTGATTTGGGCAAGTTGTTCAGTCTCTGAACCTTAGACCCCTTATCTGCAAAAAGGAGTTTGACAGCAATATGCATAGACCTGTTGACATAGTGCCTAACACACAGTGAGTAATAGCCATATTTTTTAGGATGCCCATACTTTGTAAATTTAAAACATTTAATTGAGTCTCTACTATCAAAACAATTAAGATTTGCCTTATGCTTGGATCAGACCTATTAGAGGCTTTAAACTCTAGAACCTTTAAATCCTGTAACAGTAGCTGTAAGCCACTCAAAGTATTCTCTGTCAGAGAACTGTGAAGGTGTAAGGAACCTGAGGGATTACAAATTATTGACACTAAAAAATCATACTTTGTGGGGAGTGTAAAGGTTTCTCGAGATTGAAAAGTTCCTTTGGAAGTTCAGCAACAGTACAGCCTTACAAAATGTGGTATTTCACTATCAGAAAAACTTTAGAATTTAACCTTTTCTCTTTAATTAGGTTCTTTAGTAATCGAAGATAAAGAGAGTCAACCACAAATGCCTAAGCAGAATCCTGTTGTGGAACAGAATTCCCAGCCACAAGGTGGTTTATCTTCAAACCAGTTATCCAAGTTTCCAACCCAGATCAGCCTAGCTCAGTTACGACTCCAGCACATGCAGCAACAGGTAATGGCTCAGAGGCAGCAGGTGCAACGGAGGCCAGCACCTGTGGGTTTACCACACCCTAGAATGCAGGGGCCCGTCCAGCAACCTTCCATCTCTCATCAGGTAAATTCGGGAGCAGGCCTGGCCTAACTTAGATAAGTATAGCACGATTGTATTCAGCTCTTAAAAGAACCAAGACATCCGTCATCCATGATTTGAATATATGAGTATATGAACATGTATTGCACTGAGGATCCCTGATTTAACTCCTAGATTTTAGCCCTTCTCAGAAAAAGAATTGGTGGTTTATTTAGCTGGTACATCTATTTTCATCTACTCTTTTCTTTTTTAGGATTTTATTTATTTATTTATCTTTAGAGGGGAAGGGAAGGAGAGAGGGAGAGAAATATCCATGTATGGTTGCCTCTCCTATGTCCCCTGCTAGGACCTGGCCTGCAACCCAGGCATGTGCCCTGACTGGGAATCGAACCACGATCCTTTGGTTCTCAGGCCCGCACTCAATCCACTGAGCTGCACCAGCCAGGGCTCATCTACTCTTTGTTGACTTAATGTTATAGACAATGTGAGAATGCAGTGTTTAGAAAACCACATTGTGTCTTAGAAACTAGGGCAAAATGGAATAGAAAAGGGCAGAGATGTGGCTCATTAGAAAATACCATTTTCAGACTATATTTCTGAGCAAATATTCCATGAACCATCTTTATTTTCACTAATATGGAATACTGTTTACTTTTAATCCAATTTTTAAGATAAAATATTTATATACTTTGTTAAATATTTTAACCATCCTGCTCAGTTGAGATGTGGGCCTACTTGGGTTTAATAAAGGTTTAGTAAGGAATACAAAGTATAATTCATGCTTTGTATTTTATAATTCTGTAAAAATAACAGAGTATCTGTTATTTTTAGTTATATTTGCTTATGAACTTATATTCTATTTCTGAGAAGGATTTGAATTGACTTACAGTAAATGACAAATCAAATGGCATGGGTTTTAATAAGAGTGTTTGAGAACAAGACTTATCTCAAACTTTCTGTCAACCTACACAAAGAGAAGTGGAAATAATATCTACATTATTTGATAAAAAGAAAGCATGACAGTTAATTAGAAGAGAAACATTTTACTACCACTGAGAAGGAGGTAGAATGTGGGTCTTTATAAAAAAGTAATTAAATGGCATGATGGAATTTTTGTAGCAATTTTACAAAACATAGAAGTTGTTTTCATAAGACTCTTACTTTAACCCTGAATAAAAGTTGTGGGCATACTTCAATCCTGATTTTGTTACATTGCTGCTTTGAGGGCCTGAGGTGATGTGATCGAGGTTATGGCTTTTCTAGTAATTTGATTAGGAAGGCGTGTCAGATCCATGGGAGTATTAGTGTAGCCGATTGATTGTTCCTCTCAAACTTCGTTTTAACCCAGCATTTTATAGGAAATAAATAACAAGCAATTTAGGCGGTCTTTCATGAGGGTTCCGCGGGAAAAGAATTGTATACTTTAGATACCAGCAGTGAAACTGGCAAAGGTGAAATTTTATTAAGAAAATTGATGAATAATTTTGTTTCTACCTCTGCACACTGTAGTGATGTATTGACTGCAGTGAGTGCCAAAAACAAAAATTCTGAAATAAATGTGAGGAGGGGAAAATAAGTACCTGCCAACTGCCCAGTGCTAAGAATTTGCATGATTAGTATTTATCTTAAGTGTCTGAGAGGTGGTAAAGTTATTTTTACTTAATAGTTTATTAACCTGAAAAAGGAAAAACTGACTTTTCAGTAGGAAGTGAGGAACTGAGGCAGTTAATAGCTACTATGTGACTTGGTTACATTCCCATAGTTACTTGTATGAGCAGTGACAAAACAGAGGTGACCTCTGAGCCTTTAGCATGTGTATCTCAGAAATTGGCTTTTGACCTTATTTTTTTCTCTAGGATTTACTGCTATGCAATCTATATAAAGTACAGTTTCTTTTATACCATGTGTTTTTCTCACTTAGAAATAAAGTAATTTTTGCATCTTTTGGTCACTACCTCATACACTGTGCTTTTTCTCTTGACTCTGAGTGACTCCTGAACCTTCTTTCACACTCTTACCTTTCATTTGTAGCTGCTCTGCCACTCACGCATACATTTTCCACTTATCAATTTGCACTCTTCTGTACATTTTTATACTGCCCTGCTTCCCTACATTCTCAGTTTTCTACCAGTTTATTTGCCTATACATGTGGGACAATCAACCATCGATAAGCAGGTGTTTATGTGTGCTGTGTAGGTATGTTCAAATTGTATTCTACATCGGTCAGGTAAATTTAAAGGATTGTGTCTACAAATCACTTACATGATAGTTCCCTATTCTTCCTCTGAAGATTGACCATGTACTCTGCATGGTTAAAGAGCTGGCTGATGGAAAGTTGCACACATAGTTACGTGACTGGGTGGTACATACAAACCTGATAGATGTGCGTCTCTGTTCATTTAGCAGTATGTATGCAGTGTACTCGATGGTGCTCCGGTGGACAGATCCAAGTTAATTAGCACTGCCACGTGTTATTTATTTATACATAACTCACAGCAGTGTCTCTCAGTCCTGAGCCAGATTTACTACTATGGAAATATTTTTATACACACACATACACACACACACACACACACTTACACACAGACACACACATTAATTTCCCTAAATGGTGAATGGTTGTTAGAGAACATCTGCTCTCCTTCATGGTTTCACACAGTTGGGAGCTACTGACCTAGAATGAAATCAAAACCTGCGATAATGAAGGTAATTAGAATGCAGATGAGTATAATGATGAGATGTCAGTCACTATTCCTTTCCTTTCCTTTTTCCTGCTGTATCTTGCAAATTAATTGACTCCATTTAATTAAGATAACACTGATTTTTATATATTTTTATGCTCGGAACTAGTTCCTAATTTTATTCTTTCAAGTTGCTTCCTCTGTCACAGGGTTGTTAGAAATGAACTCAATCAACAATAACAGTGTAGGAGAGGCAGAACAGTCACCTCACATCTCACGAGACCGCAGGGTCAGCCTCCGTTCCCACACCCTGGCAGAGTTCATTGCTGCAGCGTCAGGTGTCTCTTCCTGACGGGATCAGTATGAATCTGGGTGAGGGTGCGATAGGAGGGAGCGGAAGCTTCTACAGCTACCTCTGTTCTCCCTTAATGATTATTTTGGGTGCTTTTCTACTTTTTAAAGAATTATAGATAAATTTAGAAGGTTTTCACTATAATTTCCCAACTATTTTCTGTTTGTGTTCCTATGATATAAAATCACAAAACTTTAGTACAAGAATCAAAAACAGGTCTTACTGATTCAGGAATTTTACTTCTGAAGTTTTGACATTTTCTCTTCTTTAATCTTTTTTGTATTTTTCTTGGTCTTGAAACAATATTTAAATATATTTTTTATTCATTCTATAATTACTTGGCTACTCTTGAAAGTTACTGAGGCCAAACCCAATGCTAACTAATTTGTAGGAGAGGGGAAAAAGAAGCAATGTTATCCAATAAAGGAAAGTAAATTCCAAAAATGGGTGAGGAAAAAGAAGACAGAGCTGTCTGCCTTCACAGTGTCGAAGTTTAAGGCATTCCTGCTACAACTTGATAAATTACACATTTATTGCCCCCTTGTGAATGTGGGAGTTAATAGTTCCCTTCCTGAGAAGTGCTGATCATAAAAATAAACAGGATAGCCTGAAAGCAAGTTGCCATGCATAAAGAGAATTGGATAGTCAAGATGAGACTCACATATAAGGTTACCTTTTTCTAGAACACTGGTCTCGATTTACAGGGCTAGCATTTATTAGCAAAATAGGCTTGCTTTCCCTATCCTGTAACCAACCAAAGTTGTCCTTGAAGGGTTTCCTTTCAAATCTGTTTTCTTTCACCGAAACTCATCCTCTCAGCTGTAATTATTGTCTTAACCCCAGCTAAACACCGGCACATATGTTGGTAATGATACGGCCACTAGATCTGGAGAAAAGCCTTAGTGCTGCCTTTTACTAGCTGTGCGGCTTTTTTCTGGTTGTCTAAGCTTTCCAGTGCTTCGTGTCCTAATTTGTAAAATGAGAGGTAACACATATAAAATGCTGATCACAGTGCCTGGCATAGAGTTTAATCTCAGCGACAGCTAAAACTCATTTACTTTTAAATGTTATTTAATGTCAACTGTTTTTATTATTAATGACTTACTGGTTGAGAGTGCGTCTCTGGGAGCCAGAGTACCTGAGTTCAGGTCCCGGCTCTGTCCCTTACAGACTGTCTTTGCTGACCTTTGACAAGGTACTTAAATTCTCTGTACCTCCAGGACTGTGGTGAGGGCTAAATGAGTTAACGCGTTAAAGAAGGTAAAGCAGTGCCTGGCATGTAATGACTGCTAGTAAATGTTGGCACTTACTATTTTACCACCACATTATTTAGGTGGTTTGAAGAAGACAGTTCTTCACAAAAGATTAATCATCAAGGACCAGACAAGTTTCCCCTGCTTCCCGACGTGGCCTAGGCCCAGTTTTGGTATAACCTACTTACAACTGGAACCCCCCTCTACCACAGCTCTTAATAAAACTCCTTTTCTTGGAATTGCTTCTACATATTCTGGAAGGCTGCCTCCTTCCTTTGTACATTTGTTGTGTTAATAAATGACTCATTTGTGGCAGAGTTGCTTTTTGTAAAAGTTAAAAAATAGAGTTTTCTCTAATACGTGTTTCAGGAGATGATTGTCACTGAATTGATTTATTTCTTTTTCAGCAACCCCCTCCACGTTTGATAAACTTTCAAAATCACAATCCCAAACCCAATGGACCAGTTCTTCCTCCTCACCCTCAACAGCTGAGATACCCACCCACCCCGAATATGCCACGACAAGCAATAAAGCCCAACCCCCTACAAATGGCTTTCTTGGCTCAACAAGCCATAAAACAGGTATATATGTTCTTACTTACCTGTTGTTTATTCTGCTTCTCTGTACCTTGGAATTACATTGAATGTATAAACAAAGTAACAGTTATGAAGAGAAAGTAAGCTTTTTAAGTTTTTTCCTATTTTTAAAAAAACATTTTATTGATTATGCTATTACAGTTGTCCCAATTTTTCCCCCTTTGCCCCCTTCCACCTGGTTCCCCCATTCCCTCTAGCAATCCCCCTACCTTAGCTCATCAGCATAGGTTGTACATATAAGATCTTTGGCTTCTCCATTTCCTATACTATTCATAACATCCCCCTGTCTATTTTGTACCTACCAGTAATGCTTAGTCCTTACACCTTTTCCCTCATTCTCCCCTGTCCCCCTCCTAGCTGATAACCCTCCAAATGATCTCCAAATCTATGATTCTCTTCCTGTTCAGGTTGTTTGCTTAGTTTTGTGGGGTTTTTGTTGTGTGTGTGTGTGTTTTATTCAGTTGTTGATAGTTGTGAATTTGTTGCCATTTTAATGTTCACAGTTTTGATTTTATTTTTCTTAAATAAGTACCTTTACCATTTCATGTAATAATGTCTTGGTGATGATTAACTCCTTTAGCTTTACCTTGTCTGAGAAGCACTTTATCTGACTTTCAATTCTGAATGATAGCTTTGCCGGATGGAATAGTCTAGGTTGTAGGTCCTTATTTTTCATCACTCTGAATACTTCTTTACTGTCACTTCTAGCCTGCAAAGTTTCTTTTGAGAAATCAGCTAACATTCTCATGGGAACTCTTTTGTAGGCAACTCATCTTTTCTCTTGCTGCTTTTAAAATTCTCTCTCTGACCTTTGACATTTTAATTATGCTGTATCTTGGTATGGTCCTCTTTGGGTCTAACTTGTTTGAGTTTCTGTGCTTTTTGGACTTGAATGTCTATTTCCTTCACCAAATCAGGAAAGGTTTTTGGGGTTGTTTTTTTTTCATTATTATTATTTTTTTTGGAACATCTTACTTCAATTTTATTTTATTTATTTTTTAAATTGATTATGCTGTTACAGTTGTTCTATTCCCCCCTTCATTCCCCTCCACCCTGCCCCCCCATCCCCACCATTACCTCCCTTTAGTTTATGTCCATGTGTCTCAAGTCCTTTAGGTTCTATATTTCCCATGCTATTCTTGTCCCCCCCCCATCTATTTTCTATCTACTGTCTATGCTACTTATTTTCTGTACCTTCTCCCCCCATCTCCTCCTCCCACTCCCCTTTTGCTAACCCTCCTTGAGATCTTCATTTCTATGTTTCCACTCCTGATCTAGCTGTTCTTTTAGTTTGCTTTCGTTTTAGGTGTGGTTGTTAATAACTGTGAGCTTGTTCTTTCACTGTTCATGTTTCTTTAACTTCTTTTTCTTAGATAAGTCCCTTTAACATTTCATATAATAAGGGCTTGGTGATGATGAACTCCTTGAATTTGATCTTATCTGAGAAGCACCTTATCTGTCCTTCCATTCTAAATGAAAGTTTTGCTGGATACAGCAATCTTGGTTGTAGGTCTTTAGATTTCATGACTTGGAATATTTCTTTCCAGCCCCTTCTTGCCTGTAAGGTCTCTTTTGAGAAATCTGCTGACAGTCTGATGGGGACTCCTTTGTAGGTGATTGTCCCCTTAGCTCTTGCTGCTTCTAGGATTCTCTCCTTCATTTTAATTTTGGCTAATGTAATTATGATATGCCTTGGTGTGTTTCTTCTTGAGTCCAACTTTTTTGGTACTCTCTGAGCTTCTTGGATTTCTTGGAAGTCTATTTCCTTTGCCAGATTGGGGAAATTTTCTTTTATTATTTGTTCAAATAAGTTTTCCACTGGTGGCTGTGTCTTTCCCCCCTTCTGGTACCCCTATAATTCGGATATTGGAGCGTTTAAAGATGTCCTGGAGGTTCCTAAGACTCTCCCTCATTTCTTTGAATTCTTGCTCCTTGACTCTTTTCTGTTTGGCCATTATTTGCTTTCTTCTGGTCCACTCCATTGATTTGAGTCCCAGTTTCCTTTTCATCGCTATGGGTTTCCTGTGGAATTCCATTCATTTCCATTAGTTTAGCCTTCATATGTTTCTCTAATTTGTGGCTATAATCAACCAGATCTGTTAGAATCCTAATGACCAGTGTTTTAAACTGTGCGTCTGAGAATTTTGCTATTTCTTCGTTGCTTAGATTTATCTCTGGGGCTTTGAGGTCTTCCTGCGACATTTTTGGTCTGTTCTGGCCCTTTAAATGTGAGAAGCGGCGCCTTGGACTCCCAGGTCGCTGGGTTGTGACGCTGTATATGGGGGCGTGGTCAGAGCGGGGAAATGGCGGTGCCCTCTACTGCCGCTTGCCACAGGGACTGCCCCGGTCCAACCGCCCACTCCCTCGCCTGTCCGCTCGCGGGCAGATAGGCAACCGCAGTCAACACGCAGCACCGCCTCCCCACTGTCTCCTCTGCAGTCGCTCACCTGGTGGGTTGCTCGGTCGCTTGCGTTTGGAACCCGTGCATCTGGATTCACGCGTCTGGATTCCGCGCCTGGGTCCGTCCGACCGGAGTCCTCCTGTGCAACCCCTCAGGAGACGCCGGTTTCGCCCCTTACCGGTCGGGCTGAAGAATTTGTTGTTGACAGACTTCCGAAAAGTTCAATTTTCCGTGTTCTGGTTGTGTTTTCTGATGCTAATATTTAGTTGTCCCTAAACTTGGTTGTGTGAGAAGGCACGGCACATCCACCTATACCTCCATCTTGGCGGAAGTCCTCATTATTTTTTCAAATCAGGTTTCAATTTATATTGCCCTTCCTCTTCTCCTTCTCGCACCCCTATGATTCAGATGTTGGTATGTTTAGAGATGTCCCAGAAGCACTTAATACTATCCTCATTTTTTAACATCCTTTTTCCTTCTTGCCTTTGTGGTTGAATGTTTATTTCTTCCTTATGTTCCAACTCATTGATTTGAATCCTGTCTTCATCCCTTCCACTGTTGGTTCCTTACAGATTTTTATTTCACTTCATGTAAACTTCATATTTTCCTGGGTCTTTATTATGTTGTTGCTGTACTCAATGAGTTCTTTGAGCTTCCTGATCACCAGTGTTCTGAACTCTGCATCTGATATGTTGGCTATCTGTGTTTCATTTAGTTATTTTTCTGGTGTTCTGTTCTTTCATTTGGGTCATATTTCTTTGTCTCCTCAATTTGGCAGCCTCCCTGTGTTTGTTTCTGTGTGTTAGGTAGAGCTGCTTTGACTCCCTCTCTTAGTAGTGACCTATTATAGAAAAGGCACCTATAAATTGGGTTGGGCAGAGCCTTAGGTAATTGCCAGGGCAGGGCAACCGGCTTCACTGCATTGTGATTCTGTGTAGGGGGAGGGTTCGGAGAGGGGACAGTGCCGCTGCCTCTCTTCTGGAGGTTTGCCCGAACTCACCCTGTTTCCAGTCACTTCATTACTCCCTGTGTGTGACTAGTGCCCTTCCTGCTGTTGCCCTGGTGCTGAATCCTAGAGGAGCTGGGTCTATGTACATTCTAAGTCCGTGCAGACCCTTTAAGTCTCCTGAAAATTCATTGTTTTCTTCCACCACCCCAACCTTCACTGGTTTTTACAGCCAGAAGTTATGGGGATTTATCTTCCTGGTGCTAGAACCCTGGGCTATGCAGTCTGGCCTGAGGCTGGGACTCTCGCACCCAAGGTATCTCTCCCGATTTTTATCCACCACATGATGTAGGACTACCTGTTCCTCCACCACTGCATTTCCTGGCCATACCACATCTCCGCTCCTCCTACCCATCCGGATGAATGTGGCTTCTTTAAATCCTTGGTTGTCAGACTTCCATACAGCTTGGTTTTCTGACAGTTCTGGGTGTCATTTGTTTAGAGATCTAGTTGTCATTCTTTCTGTGGTTGTGCAAGGAGGCGAAGCTTATCTAGATATGTCTCCGTCTTGGTTGGAAATCTTGCAAGATTTCTTTTTAAATAAATGTAATTACCAAATTGATTACAGACTGACCTATAGAGACAAAGATAAGAGAACCTTGATGCTCTGTAATTAACAAAAGAACTGACAAGTGTCCAGAAGGGAAAGGGGAGGGGATTTCAGGGGATAAGGGGAAGGGTTTACAGGAACAAGTATAAAGGACACGTGGACAAAAACTAGGGGGGGTAGAAATGGGAGGGAGTGGGGAGGGCTGGGAGTAAAAGACAAAACTACTTGAACAACGATTAAAAGAAAAAGAAAAAAATGAAAACCTTTTGATGTAAGACAATGTAAAAAAAAAATAAAGTCTATCAATTAGTTTAAAAACAAAAAACAAAACAAAAGAAATCAATCCACTTTATATGCATGAAGGCCCAGAATAATCAGTGAGTCATAGGTATCAGTTTTTGCAGTAACAATGTATGTAGCTTTTAGGAGAATACATTAAATTTCCTAAGAAATATTCTGATAAATACAGATTACTTCCTGCAAAAGAGAACAATACGCTAATCTTGAAGCGTTTCAAGGAGACTTCTTGGAAACAAATTTAGTGTGATGGTTTTAATGAGGAGTGCATGCGGATCTGATAAAGTTTATTACTTAAGGTTACATTAAAAAACCTGGTAAGGTTTAATATTTATATTCTTAATGTCTTTGTTATATCCACCGGACGCGAGAATAATTTTCGAAGACTTTTCAGGGTTTTGATCTTATTTTGTTGGCCAAGCTTAACCTGTGCAGGGGCGAACTCTTGGGGTGTCCAGAGGCACGGTGCTCAAAAGGGCTGCAGAGGAGAGTCGCACCGAGCGCTTACAGCTAAGTCCTTATATAGGGGCGTGCAAGCAAGCGTTGAATAGAAGCAGACATGGCAGTTAGCTGTTTGCTGACAGAGACCGTGTGCGGGAACAGGGTGGGGTTTCAAAATTCAAAGCTAGGCAGATTACAATCAGCCTGTTTTGCTGTGGTCAGGCTATGTTCTCAATTTCCAAGATCTCAGCATTCCCCCATTTTCTTCGGGAGTATGTCAAACCCTTGAC